ACGGTGGGGATCAGCAGAGGATGTGGATCACACCAGGACCCACCGTGTCAAGCGGCCTTAATTCCTACGGGTTGGGGAGCTTCGCTTTCCACTCTGTTGGGGTTCTTCGGGAAGGGGTATTTAGTACGCAGTATCTGCCCTACGCTGTAGCCTCAATACTGTACACCTTGATGAATGGCAACTTCTGGCGCCCTTCGGACGGTTCCCTCCGGAAGTCGCACTTTATCGTAGTTTTATCTGTAATTTTAGTTTCTCATTATCGGTTTTGTTGGGTTTTGGATAGGTTTTGTTGGTGACCCCTCAGGAGAGTTTGATACGTCGTAGGTGCAGCGTACACGTGGACCACTGTCTAAATCGGAATTATATCCAGGTACAGGGTGTTGCGTTAATTGACAAGATCTACCTACAAGTACTGAGTGCCTACTGGATGACTATCCCACTACAGGCCTGCAGATCCGTCAGTGAATGATTTTTGTTGCCTGACTATTTAGGTACCCATCGATCCCCTCTTCGTTCACCGCCTTTAGATAATCTTCTAGAAGGTTAGAAGATTCCCATGGACATACTTCAGTTGGTTTACTACGTATCAAGGTACAGTACATCCTACTACTACCCCAGGTACATAATACCACCTCCTATTCTCTGACGTAGTTACAGATCCCTTGTCATGAAGTCATGGATACTACCTTTTTCTAACACCCTAAGTGTAAGTGTAAAATGAATTAGTCGGTTCCAATGCATCTTTGTTGGAATTGCATGATGTTTAGTCGGTGAGCAATCGTCATGTGCGTCCGTTAGCAGCAGGTAGCCGAATCGAATCAAAATATTTTCTCAAGCGGTATCTTTACGTAGTGTGATGCAGGCGATGGATGATGTGTACTCGGGTTTACAGTGTACTTTGTATACTAGTGGGAAGGTACACTGGCATCCCTGTGCCAACAAGGAAAAAAAAATAATATTAGACGTTCATCGACCCCACCCATCTTTAGTCCCGACCAGATCATCTTACAGAATTAGTGTCTTGGGCCTTAACTTTATGGAGTCGAGACTTGGTTGAACATGGCCCGATTATCCTACTCATTACCCTTTTTGACCGTAGTCAGTATTGTATATACGGTGTACTTCAGATCACTCTCGGGGTCAGTATTATGAATACCGTGTACTTCGGGTCACCACTGGAGTCAGTCCAGTTTATACGGTGTACTTCAGATCACCGCCAGGCAGGAAAAAAACAAGAACTTGAGTTTTGTTGAGCAACATTATCGCCCCCCCAAATTATTACCCTGCAGGTTTTCTTGTCGCATCCTCCGCACTCCGTAAGCAGTACTCTGGAGTCTGTACGCCGTCACACCAGCCCTAGCTCTTTCATTATACCACCGTAGCTTCTCAAGATGGTATCTGTGGCTGTCCCGAGTCCCGATCAACTAGACTAGATTTTCCAATAAGGATTCTCATCGGAAGGTTATTATTAGGACCGTTCTTTTCAAGTTTCAAGTCCCGACATCCGAATTTAGCCTCAGGCCAGACGACTATTTTCCCAACTGGTCCCGCATTGCGCCCCCCGCCGTTTTCTCAAGACCGTATAGTACTGCCCCATACCGCCCACCCATACGATTACCTGCCTGATACATACCAACCATACGCCGTACATACTTCAGACTCCGGGCTTCTGTACTTCACCTCAAAAATTATTATTAGCAGCTCCATAATTTCTTTACTCCGTACCAACCCCCAATCTTAACCCGATATCGTTCCCCTCTGTTGTTATTTTTTTTTTCTTCTCCCCCTCCGTCTTAACTCATCGATTAATCCACTTCATTCCCCCCTCCAATTCCAATTTCTCCATCCTCCTTCCTTAGTTATCGTCCCTTATCCTTCTCTCCCATCTATCTTCTCCTTCCCTCCCAGGTCGCTATTACTTGTTGCGACTTGCTCTCCTCTATATCATTTAACTCACCTACATACCCACCTAATAATACCTTCTTGTTTCCTTTGATTGTTTTACGTTTGGAGCTCTGTTGACAGGTATGCTTCCTCGGAGTCAGTTCGGATACTGATATCATACATTCCCTATCCTCTGGACCTTCTATTCCCGCCAGTTCTGGAATCGTGAATAATTCGCTAATGTTGGCTGGATTGACAGAGTAATTAGCCATCATGTCTTCTACCGCTCCTCTTGTCAACACCGCCAATGGCGGCTCTGCCAACGACAACATCACCCGCTTCGCACCCCCCAGCCGTGTGCTCTCTCCTCTCAACCATGCCCTTTTCCACAACAAGACCAGATGTTTCGTATAGTGAGTACTTCTGTCCTCTGGAGGTCAACATCATATATTGACCATTGTAATAGTGGTATGCAGCCCAAGGCCGTGCAGGGCATGCTCGACTTCGATTTCATTTGCAAGCGCAGCACACCCTCAGTCGCCGGTATCATCTACACTTTCGGTGGTCAATTCGTGAGCAAGATGTACTGGGGTACTAGCGAGACTTTGCTCCCTGTCTACCAGGACGTTTCCAAGGCCATGGCCAAGCACCCCGATGTTGACACTGTTGTGAACTTCGCCTCCTCCCGTTCCGTTTACAGCTCTACCATGGAGTTGATGAACTGCCCCCAGATTAAGGCCATTGCCATCATTGCCGAGGGTGTCCCAGAAAGAGTAGGTTTTTGATCTCTGCCAAGCTAGACTCCGACTAACAGTGATAATAGCGCGCTCGTGAGATCCTCGTCACTGCCAAGGAGAAGGGCATCACTATCATTGGACCCGCTACCGTCGGAGGTATCAAGCCTGGTGCTTTCAAGATTGGTAACACTGGTGGTATGATGGACAACATTGTGGCTTCCAAGCTCTACCGCAAGGGCTCTGTTGGCTACGTCTCCAAGTCCGGTGGTATGTCCAACGAATTGAACAACATTGTCTCTCAAAATACCGATGGTGTCTACGAGGGTGTTGCCATTGGTGGTGATCGTTACCCTGGTACCACTTTCATCGACCACTTGCTGCGTTACCAGAACGAGCCGGAGTGCAAGATCCTTGTGTTGCTCGGTGAAGTCGGTGGTGTTGAGGAGTACCGTGTCATCGAGGCCGTCAAGAACGGCACCATCACCAAGCCCATTGTTGCTTGGGCTATTGGTACCTGCGCCAGCATGTTCAAGACCGAGGTCCAGTTCGGTCACGCTGGTGCTTCCGCCAACTCTGACCTGGAAACCGCTGTTGCTAAGAACAAGGCCATGAGGGAGGCTGGTATCCACGTTCCCGAGACCTTTGAGGACATGCCCAAGGTGCTCAAGGAGGTCTACGAGCAGGAGGTCAGCAAGGGCAACATCCAGCCTCAGCCCGAGCCTGTTCCCCCTAAGATCCCTATCGACTACTCCTGGGCCCAGGAGCTCGGTCTCGTCCGTAAGCCCGCTGCCTTCATCTCCACTATCTCCGACGACCGTGGCCAGGAGCTTCTCTACGCCGGTATGCCCATCTCCGATGTCTTCCGGGAGGACATTGGCATTGGTGGTGTCATGTCTCTTCTTTGGTTCCGCCGCCGCCTTCCCGCCTACGCTAGCAAGTTCTTGGAGATGGTTCTCATGCTTACCGCTGATCATGGTCCTGCCGTGTCTGGTGCCATGAACACCATCATCACCACCCGTGCCGGCAAGGATCTGATCAGTGCTCTCGTTTCTGGTCTTCTGACCATTGGTTCTCGTTTCGGTGGTGCCCTTGACGGTGCTGCTGAGGAGTTCACCAAGGCCTTCGACAAGGGTCTGAGCCCCCGTGACTTCGTTGATACTATGAGGAAGGAGAACAAGCTCAGTATGTTCCCCCTACCGTTGTTTCTACTCCACTTTCAATTCAAGACGCATCACTAACCGCGCATAGTTCCTGGTATCGGTCACCGTGTCAAGTCCCGTAACAACCCCGATCTTCGTGTCGAGTTGGTCAAGGAGTTCGCCAAGAAGCACTTCCCCAGCACCAAGCTGCTCGACTACGCCATCGCTGTTGAGACCGTCACCACCTCTAAGAAGGACAACCTCATCCTGAACGTCGACGGTTGCGTTGCTGTCTGCTTCGTCGACCTCATGCGCAACTCCGGTGCCTTCTCTCCGGAGGAAGTTGAGGACTACATGAAGATGGGTGTCCTTAACGGTCTCTTTGTCTTGGGTCGCAGTATCGGTCTGATTGCCCACTACCTTGACCAGAAGCGCCTGCGTACTGGTCTCTACAGACACCCTTGGGACGATATCACCTACTTGCTCCCTGCCCTGCAGAAGGGTGGATCCGAAGGCCGTGTCGAGGTCAACCTCTAATCTTTTATATATCCTTATTAATTTCTTACCTTTTCATTTTTTCTATATCTTTACACTCGTGGAAGTGGCCAGTGTGGGATACTGGTATTCTCATAAAATCCCGTCATGTTCTTTGACGTTGGAGTTATGATGGCTTGCGTTGCATTGTTTCGATTCTTATATCATTTTATTTCACCTCACAATCTGTAGTGCGCACATGTGGCATGACTAGCTGATAGGGTTGATGAATTCTATGCAAGGGCAGAAAAGGCAGAATCTGTTTAGAAGAGTTAGAATTACGACAGCCTGATTTACAATCCAATGGGTTATAATTTCAATGATCTTCCATATCGCTTCAAATTCGAGTAATGTTTGTCTCGATTCTTATAGCCAAGCTCCTCGGTGTGTTCGTCGACTTAGCTGAGAGGTATCGGGGCCCTGCCCGCGTTGCCCATGTAAGTTGGCGGGTCTAGAATTTTGAGCAAAAAGTAGAAGTCAAAGAATTACAAAAACAAAAGAAGAAAATTCATTCCAGATGAAGTGACTTAATGAGTGTCTTACAGTTCAATTGATTTATGAAATGCCCGAGATAGCAGACACACCCCCCCACATTGCCCTTTATCAAACTTCGGGAAGTAATGAAACTAACCGCTATAGGCAAGACTAACTTAGAGCTTCAATTCTTGAATCGATAAAACATATCCGTACATTAAATCTACGGTTCAACTCAAACCGCGTCATACTTCGCCAACTCCGCGAATTCTAAGAACCTCCTTCCCACAAGGGGTGCTCAGCCCTCGAAATCGCTCATTATCGCCCAATTCAGCAACAAACCGGCGCGCAAGAAAAATCCCACCCTCAATAAGAACCTTCAGCACACCAGCCAACCCTATACAACTCTAGAAAAGAAAACCCGGGGAAAAAAGCAAAAAGAAATCCAAAATGGTCCGCATCAAACACCGCTACCTCCTCCTCGACATCCTCTACCCCGATCCCACCTCATGGCCACCCTCAACCACAGCGCCCAAAAATGTACCACTAAACGCACAATCCCAATTGCAAATCCACTCGCCCACATCCGACGCCCTGACGCCGAGTTTACTCGCGAAGATGGTGAGGGAGGAAGTCGCAGAGATATTCGGTGATTGGGGCGTGGGGAGACTGGGTGGTGTTACCGCTGGAGGTGTTAGTGGTATGTATAGTGCCCTTTTTTTTTTCTTTTTTCTTTTTTCTTTTTTTCTTTTTTTTTTTTTGGCTAGCCCTATCTTGGTAGAGGGTTCTTATGCCGGGCTGAAATGGTGATTAATCTTGTGTTCGATTGGGATAGTTAAATATTTGTCGCCTGCGACTTCGACGGCTATTATTCGTTGTCCGCGGGCGTCGTTCCGGCTTGTTTGGACTGCGCTTACTTATATGTCTCGGGTGCCGGAGTATGGGGATTCGAATCGGTCGAGGCGGTCGGATGTTCCGTTAACGAGGCCTTGTGTTTTTCGGGTTATTAGGGTTTCTGGGACGATGCGGAAGGCGGAGGAAGAGGCGATTCGGCGGGCGAGGAAGGAGATTGTGCGGTTGAGAGGCGCGGAGGAGGTTGGGGTGCTTGGGGGTTTAGTTGGTGGGTTGGAATCTACGGAGGACTCTGGTGTTGTTGAGGATGTGATGGTGGATGAAGAAGAGGATCTTGATATGAGGAGTGATGGGGAGGATTGATGGTCTTCTCTAGGATAAAGGTGTTTGCTTTTTTGGGTGCGTCCGCCGTTGTTGGCGAGGTTTTCTTTTTCATTCATCAGAGATACCCTATGATACATGTATACTAGAGGATGGTAAAATTCATGTTATGACTTTCGTACAACTTTCACTCCGCTGTCTGGTATGAATCCCCTGCCAAGATCGTCGTACTCATCGTCGTCCTCGTAGCCGGCGCTGGGCTTGGTGGCACCGGCCGCTTCATCTCGGTCTTTGGCCTCTGCTTCTAATCTTTGCCTTTCAAGTTCATCGTGCTCATCTTTGGCATCTAACCAGCGTTCCTGTACATCTCGGACGTCCATAGTTCCCAGGCCGTCCCGAACAGCAACCTGCCAGACGGTGTCGTTTGCACCTTCAGCAGGTCCGAACACATACCCGCTTGCTCGGTCAATCACATGCAATAGACTCATCATGCTCTTCTTGTCTTCGACAGCTAGCGTTTCGAATGCAACGAGTCCGAAATCTTCAACGAGGTCTATAATGGCTTGATTGAGGGCCCCGAACTTATCATGCGAAAGCCGAGAGGATTCCGCTTCCAGGTGTGGCAGCAAATATGAAAGGTCTTGTACCTCTGTGTAATAGTCTAGATTAAAAGGGAGCGGGGCGTAGTTCGAAAGATTGTCGATCTTGGTGAGGACGTTGAGGTGGGGAAGGTCCATTTGAAGCATGGCGCGGAGGGAGAGGATGAGGGCGGATATGTACATAGAAGGTAGAGTGAGGTTATATGAGTCAATTAGGTGTATTACGATTAACTAAAGCAGCAGTCAGCTACATGTATGTTATGATATACCGAGAACGGAATGGGAAGAAGCATACTCTATATCCCATCTTTTGAAGTTTGAAGAAAATGTTTCGTAATGATGAGTGGTGCGTGAAGATCTCGACCTGACCTGGGCAGTCAAACAAAACATAGTCCTCTAGAAACGACTCATAATCAGTATATCATAGCAAGCTTGTCACGCCAGTTCCGACGCCTACCTTCAAGTTCCTTCAGCCCCCCCTCCAACCAGTCAAAGTTCTCCTCCAGTTCTTCTAGCGCATACAATATACCGCCATTCGGACCTAGGTGGTCTTCACTCATTACTTCCTCAAGAGTAACCAAGTCACGAACATCCAGCGCACATGGGTAGGACGTTTTATCATTTGCGGGGTCCAGATTCACGATCGAACATTTGCGCCCAATTGCTCCGAGGAACTGATGCATGCCATTGCAATATGTCGACTTTCCCGCACCGGGAGGCCCTATCACTAGCTGCGCAAATGGCATGGTAATCCACCTATGATGGAAATGTAAGATAACTGGAAAAGCACGTAGTATAGATAAGTTGTGAGACTTTATCGATTGCACTCATTGATAATGGCGGGGAGAATATTGCAGGGCGGTATCTTTCGGCAGAAAATGATTTGAAGGACCGAAGCTTCGATATGACGCCGGCCGATCAACAACTATCCGCCGTTGCTGCTTCAATTGGCTTTTCTCGGTGACTTTGCGCAATCATGGCGTCGAGTAAGTATTAATTTTTACAGCATATTCTTCATACCTGGCTAATACACTTATAGACCAGTTTATCGTTGCGTCTCCACCGACAGATGCCATTTCCGCCTTAAAGTTCTCTCCCGACCCTAATTCCACACGAGTTGTTGTATCCTCCTGGGACAAGAATGTATACCTTTACGAGCTGCGCGATGAAAACGGGAATGTAGGAGAAGGCAAACTATTACAGAAGTTCGAGCACCGTGCTCCGGTACTTGATGTGTGCTTTGGCGCAACCGAGGACGAGATCTACACAGCCGGCTTGGATTGGGACGTGAGGAAGTGAGTCCAACCGTATTTTCACTCCATCGATTTAGATACTGTAATGCAGTGCTAATAATCTGCAGGATTGACGTAGCAACATCAACCCAGACCGTGCTTAGCAGCCATGAAGCAGGTGTTCGAAGCGTCGCTTACAGCAAGGAACACCAACTGGTGATATCGGCATCCTGGGACTCCACATTACACGTACATCGCATCGATGCCCCGGACTCTATACCGTCGATTATTCCCCTCCCATCCAAGCCCTTCTCCATGTCTCTCACTGCTACGAAGCTGGTCGTCGCAATGGCCTCGCGCGCATTGCATATCTATGATCTCAAGGCGCTATCTCTCCTCACGGCTCAGTTAGATGGTACCGCTCCGAACAAGGTTGAGGTGGAACCATGGCAGCGGAGAGAAAGCAGTCTTAAGTTTATGACACGGTGCGTGGCATGCATGCCTGACGATGCGGGTTACGCTTCTTCAAGCATTGAGGGTCGAGTTGCTGTCGAATGGTTTGATCCTTCTCCTGAATCGCAAGCGCGAAAATACGCCTTCAAGTGCCATCGCCAGACGGCCGATGATGTCGACGTGGTATACCCCGTGAATACTCTTGCCTTCCACCCGGTACATGGGACCTTTGCATCTGGAGGCGGTGATGGTGTGGTTGCTCTCTGGGATGGAATTGCGAAGAGGAGAATCAGGCAGTACCAGAAGTACCAGTCTAGTGTTGCTGCCGTGGATTTCAGTGGTAATGGGAAGTATCTGGCAATTGCTGTCAGCCCAGGGTTTGAAGACGGAAAGGATGACGTTGCCGAGGGGACGGTCAAGATTTATGTGCGCGAACTTGGTGAGACAGAGGCTAAGGGGAAGGGTGCGAAATAGAACCACGTAGCTTTTACTATGAACATCTAATTTTTACGACCAGAAATGGAATTTCAACCTTGCCTAGGTAGACAGAGTAAGCAATCCAATTCACGCTAGCAGCAAATGGTATCATTTATAGTTCCACTTTTATGTATACATGTCTAGATCGTCTCGGGCAATAAGTGGTTAAGCAGAAGCCTTTCTTACGGACACAGAGCCGTCAGGCATGCCGAAGTACGCGGCGATAGGTTTCTGACCTCCAGTACCTCCACGGACCTGTGCCTGGGGGCCAGTTTCACCGGAGAAGATACCAACATCCAAGACACCGGGAATCTGCTTGATGGCCCGAGAAAGAGCTTCAACCTCCCAAACTCCATCCTTTCCAGTGCCATCTTGTCCGGCTGCAATGTCTGCCTTGGTGAGAAGAGCCTTGAAGGGAGCGTCAATGATGTTGAAGGCCTGGTCGGTCTTCAAAGGGGTAGGCTTGGGTGCGCCTTCAGGAGCAGTAGGGTTCAAGCGAAGAGCAGGCGAGATGCTACCAAGTTCCTTGAGCTCTCCTAGCACACGACTGGCAGCAATGGGGGCCACCTCGATGGGGATGTACTTCCAGCTCGAAAGGAGACGAGATTGAAGTTTGCGGGAGTCTGTTGTGGTCAGTCTTGATAAGCCTCTCTTGGACATCGTTCAGTATCAGGTCCACTGACCAGCAACGCAGACGAATTCTTTGGCCTGGAGGGCGACAATCTTCTCCTGGAACAAACAGGCACCACCACCCTTGATCAGGTTGAGGTCGTCATCGACCTCATCCGCTCCATCGAAGGCAATGTCCAGCACGGTTCCTTCGGGAAGCGAGTCGAAGTCAACGGCTGTCAAGCCATTGGAGACGATGAGCTGTTTCGAAAGATAGCCTGTAGGCACATATTTGGTTTGAGAGGTGTCGACACCGGACTCCTTGATGGCTTCAACAACATAGACAATGGTGGAACCACTGCCAATGCCCACATACTTGGCATCCTTAGGGTAGTGGTTCTTCACAGCAGCCTGACCGGCTGCGCGCTTTGCGGATTCGATAAGATCGGCCATTGTGGATTTAAGACGAAAGTTTGCAGGAGGGACTGTGGGAGAGGAGGAACGAAAGGTATGCAGACGGAGACGAGGGTGAGCGGAGAAGGATGAGGGGAACAAGGCTCGGAATCTGTATAAATATTATTAGGCGGGCTATGTCGGAGTTTAAAGTGCTCTAGCGGCAGCAGTTTACTGGGGGAAAAGAACCGCAGTTGCCCTGAAGGTGGGGATCCAAAATGCGATCCCAAGGAACGTCCCGGTAAATCTTGACTCACACGGTAAATTGGGGGCCACGTGGAATTATTAAGAACATGGCAGAGCAATTGAGGCTCAATGGATATGTAACACCTGTACGAATCCCAACTAATGGTAGCGTCCACGCAAATTGCAGAGTTTATGGATTGTCTCAATGGTAAAAGTGACTTTTATCCATAGGTGGGGTTGTGTCGTCATAGTACGTTCGACGGCCTCAGGCCGCAGTGCACGGCCTAAGATGTCAGCGTTTAGGATTACCGAGTACAGTAATTCCCCCTAGCACTACTGCAGGCCACCGTCAACATGGAAAGCCTTTCCCCCAATTCAGTTACGGGCGGGGATATCAGTTATCTACAAGACAATCCGGATATCAGAGCATTTGCTCCGCGTAAGAAACCGGGCCGTGGAAATCTTCGCTAGAAAAGGGCGACATATCGCGCCACAACAGATTACCATTTGCGCGTCTTGAAAAAAGAATAGGACCAATTAAGCTGTACAGTGCAATATCATGCGCCTTAATAGTGGCGCATTCGGGATACATGGTGACCTTAGCGCTCTTGGTTTCGCGTTCTCTGGAATGGCAACAACCAAACAGAAAAATACCAAATTCGGAGTTATGTATTTTGAGTGACAAGATTATCTGAAGTGAACGACAGATTTCTAAGCTTTAGGTTTCCGGCATTTGACCATACCAGTGAGAATTCTACACTTCTACTCCAATCACAATAGAGTCTAAGGTTGCTCGATGTTCACATGGGCAATCGAGCCACACCTTATCCGACACAAATGTTACAGCCTAATACTCTAGAAGGCATCTCTTCCTAAATCCCTAGCAACCACTTGTGAATGATGATAGAAATGCCGCTGAGCAACTAGCCGGACAAGCGGTCGTCCTTTCAACACCGACGGAACATGATCATACTTTCGTCCTGAATTGGTGTATGTATTTGCGGTGGACAACAACGGAGCTAGATATGAGGCTGTGAGGCCGTGACTACATCTGGAGAGAAAAGAAAAAGATACTTAAGAGGTGCTAATGCCTTCGTTATGAAGGTTAGAGGATTACATGTTTGATCTAGCAGAGTCCTTGATCAGGAGAACCATAATGATGCGGTCATCGCCTCTCTACCCCGTTGCATATAGAGAGCACAGAGTGCTATTAAGATATCTACGAGCTGACATTTTTACTTCGGTGAGATCCGCTGACTTTTATCAGAGATCAAGTCTACTGCAAGTATTCAGGGAATTGTTACCCAAACCAGCTCTACTGACCATGCGCAAGTATTGGCATACATGCAATATATATGCCAAATATGGCTAGTAACCGGAGGATATATCTTGAAATTGATTAATAATATTCTTTATTGCACGAATACAGCATCTCCAAGTAAACGCTTACCCCAGACTGCCTACCTACATGAATAATGTTCTCATAATCATATCTGTTTGTGAAATGGCGCTCGCAGCTCGCTTCTCAACATGACCGGGAAAGCTTTGTCGTATAAGCCTGTGGAATAGCAGATTCCGTTGCTCAAATAGATAAGCAGCTTGTATGCATTGATGCTCTTCGTCCCCTAGAACAGCATCTTGATACTAGTTATCTTTCATATTGAAGTAGCGAGGCATTTGCTATCTATTGAATCCTGAAAATAACATGATCCTCCACACCTTTGTACGACAGGCTTCTAAATAAACAAAGGCGCCGGCTAACAAGGAAAGAGGCCATTCACCAAGGGGTTGTATCTTGAGGACCTCGAAATATTTGAGATACAGAAAAATCAACATGTCCTTGGATGGTGCTCTCTAGCTCATGTATACTGACGGGAATCAGTATTCTAACTTTAATGTGCTCCCAGGATCTCCAAATGCGAGCAAGGCCATTGAGTGGCGCTAGGCTGATCGCGGCTTTGAGATAGTGTCAGTAACTCAGTTGTATGCAGAGTGTTTAGCATAGTAGCATATACGATTGCCATTGGTGGGGCTGTGTCGTCATCAAACCGCTACGGCCTCAGGCCACTTCCAATGCACGGGCCCTGTTGCGCTGTTGTACCCGTCACGTGGGCATACAGCGTTTACTACGGATTACTGCAGAACCATTGTCAACAACTACTACGGGCTTTCAACAATAGTCAGGTGCTTGTTATTCTATTGCCTGTCCGAGGCAGGTACTAGTATTCCAGTTGTATTAGTGTCTTTATATCCTCTCTCCCCTACTCTCAACTATTCCTTATCATTCCTCTTCCACTTCCCCGCCCCTCATGACTGATGCTTTTCCTAGTGCCCTGACTGGGCCATCTTCCAAAGAAAGGAAATATGATCGGCAACTGCGGCTATGGGCTGCAAGTGGCCAGAAGGCTTTAGAGGAGTCTCGTGTACTTTTGGTCAATTCTGATGGTCCATGGAGCAATCAAAGTACTGGAGTATCAGGCGTAGTGGGTGTCGAAACACTGAAGAACCTTGTCCTTCCTGGAATTGGAGGGTTTACTATCGTGGACCCTGCTACTGTCACCGAGGCGGACCTTGGAGTCAATTTCTTCCTTGAAGAACAGAGCCTGGGCAAGCCGAGGGCCGCAGAGACCTGCCGATTGTTAAAAGAATTGAACCCTGACGTAGAAGGAAGTTTCCAATCAAAGGTATGAATATCGGTGTTTATCTTTACATAAATCCATATGCTGAGACATTATCCTTAGCCAATCACGGAACTTTTGAGACAGGATTCAGGGTTCCTCGCACAGCATAGGCTGGTGTTAGTTTCTGGTCCTATGAAGCGACCCACTTTAGATGCTCTTTGCAAGGCTGCCAGTGAGCTAAACATTCCAGTCTTGTATACACGATCTGTTGGATTCTACTCCACTTTCTCGCTCCAACTGCCGCCCTTGTTTCCTATAGTAGAGACCCATCCAGATCCGGAGACAACACAGGATCTCCGCCTGCTCAACCCTTGGCCGGAGTTGGCAGAAGCTGCTTCTCAAATTAATGATTTGGAGACCTTGGATGACCACCAACACGGCCATGTTCCATATCTATTACTACTTCTCCACTACCTTGAGAAATGGAAGGAGGCACACAGCGGCAATGTTCCATCAAATTACAAGGAGAAATCTGAGTTTAGGGAAATGGTGCGCTCAAGCGCAAGAACGAGCAATCCCGAAGGCGGCGAAGAAAACTATGATGAGGCTGTTGCGGCAGTATTGAAATCATTGAACTCCTTTAGCTTACGCAGTTCGACTCGCGAGATTTTTGAGATGGAAGAGTGCAAAACCCCACGAGCAGACTCGGCCGATTTCTGGATCATCGCATCTGCAGTCCGGGAGTTCTTCCAGCAGCATAATGTGCTGCCTCTGCCGGGCTCACTGCCCGATATGAAGGCTCAGTCGGCAGATTATGTCTCTCTTCAAAACATCTACAAGTCGAAGGCGAAAAAAGATGTACAAGAAGTCACAGATATAGTCAGAAGAATCGAGTCCCAGATAGGATCTCGGTCGGGTGAAATCCTAGAGAAGGATATCGAAGTGTTTTGCAAGAACGCCGCTCACATCAAGGTTATTCGTGGACGCAGTATCCCTGAAATCGATAGAGAAGCACAGACTCTTAAGGCCATCCGCAACAGTATAAGCATCCCTGACTCTCTTATCCCTGTCTTTGTTGGCTTCCAGGTCCTGGACAATGTTGTGACCGACCTGCAAGAAGGAAAAATCCCCAGTGGATCGATTGATGACGAGGTGGCGTGGGACGCTCAGATTGATCGTGTTCTCTCTGCGCTCATGGCCGACGGCCAATCTGCAGTTGACCAGGACGCCCGGGAGCACGTTTTGGAAGCCACCCAAGAACTTCGCCGGACAGAAGGCGGCGAGCTGCATAATATCTCGTCACTTACTGGTGGCTTGGTCGCACAGGAGGCACTCAAGGTTATCACAAGGCAGTATGTGCCGTTGGATAACACGTGCGTCTTCGATGGAGTGCGAAGCCGTAGCGAGATGTATACATTGTGATGTGGTTGTACCATCCGGCAGCTATGACAGAGTCCCTCTCAAGGACGGCAACCGCAATGAAATGAAATTATGAATTGGCGTATTATCGTCCTACAAGTAGTTCCTCTGCTAGGCCTTTTTCAGCTTTTAAACGGTCATAAACCCGCCCCAATTCTACTATCTATATACATCCCGTGTGTACAGCGTACGCGACCTTTCGCCTGTCGTTTTCAGGCTAAGGATGTCCATTAATATTCTCGTCAAAGTGAAGCCCAGGCCTCACCGGCTGTGCGAGAACGGAAATTGCATACTTGCAGTAGATCAAAGAGACTTCGGACGAGATAATATAAATGTCAACTACCACGCTTTTGATTATTGGCATTTTATGATCTAGAATATAAACCTGTGTTATTTGGAGACATGTGGCCAAACACCGGAGAATATCTGAATTGCACTGCATCTGCATAGGTGTAGCTATACAAACCCGAGATCAAGTCATATTCAAAATTAAAAGTATTCACTATACATTGATATCATCAAGTATCCTTCAAGATATCCGTAGCTGATCTCTCATCTTCGTCTAATGGAGCCCCGCCAAGGCCATTTTCCAAAATTTCCTTATGTCTGCTCAATCTGTAGGTTAGCCACAAGACTTGACTTTTAGTCCTCCAAGGTGATTTAATTACGGGATTTTTACCTCCTGATGTAAAATTCAATTCCCAACATTGAGACAATACTTCCGGCCGCCCAAGCAGCGGACAGCGGAAATCCAATAGGATACCGCGGACTATCCGACGTTCTCCAAATACGAAGTGGAATTGTCGCATGGCCAACATCTGTTTTGAGAATAGCAATTAGCAAAGCCTAATCTTTATATTCGGTCGCAACAGTGAAGGAAGACGAAGAAGAAGAGGAAGAAGAAGTAAAAAAAAAGAAGAAAATTACGGAATTCGGTAAGCAACACATACACACAAGCGTAACAGTTAGGGCAACGAGGATTGATCGGACTTCGGGCTCTTTGCGAAGAATCTCACCGATCCAAGCTAGCAGTGCATATCTAATACATAGTTTAAGCTTAATACATTACCGTAAGTTGGGAGCTAGGAGAATATGACATACCCCCATCCACTGGTAGCAAAGGTCATGAAGTAGAAGGCCATGACTGTCGGCGTAGAATCGGGCCAGGCAGACAAGACAGAACAACAGAGGACTTGCAGCAGCTTTGATCGTGTTAGACAAGCTGCAAATAAAAGCCCATTATGGTTTGCTTATCCGAGTGTAATTCCACTTACTGCTGCAAAGACAGCCACTTGCCATCGCCATTGCTTCTTGTCACTCAGATAATTGAGGCCGACATTGGTGACGATTGAGATTGCGTATCCGCCCAAGGGAATAAGGTTGACAGTGTACGTGCTGCTCCTGTTAAAACCAATCTTTATGGCGAATGATGGGCTAAGGTAGCTTACCTATATAGCTGTCCACCATTATCATTTTTCAGGCCCTGTCACGGATCAGCATCCAACTTTGCCACCGTCACTACTAAGAGGGATATACCTTTAGGTATAACAGAAAATACGAATTGCACCTCTGACTCCATGCATACTGAAGATATGCAGCGATATAGAGCCAGCTCAATGGGGTTTTTAGGAGAGCACGAATCTTCTTCAGAACAACTTGCCGATTGACAAGTTCGTTCGTCTTAATCCCATAGCTTACCATGCGGTCTACAACAATTCTGCGTTCGCGTTTTGTTAACCACAATGCCCGGGTAATACTTGGAGAATCGGGGATAATGAACAGGCCAAGCATGCCCCATGCCATCGTTATACAACCCGTGACTATGAACAGCCATTGCCATCCTTGCAGTCCGCCTGCGCCATCTAGGTTCTTGTATAAGGCTGCCTGTAGAATCCCGAGGAACATATTGCCTGCTGTACCACTGACACCGAAGATTGCCAGACGTGTTCCCAGTTCTTGGGGAGTATCTAGAGTTCTCGTTAGCTTAAAACAGGGACATGAATGCGATATATGTTGACATACACCAATTAAACAGCAGACTAGCAAGTCCTGGCCAAGAAGTCTACATTATTCAGTGTCTATATTCCCATATTAGGAATGGTAGGATTGTACTTACGGACTCAAAAACTCCCAAAAAGAATCTCAATGCATATACAGTTCTTGCGTTCTTTGCGGCAAATGTGCTGCAATGAGCATTAGCATGCTTTAAACAGCTTAGAGGAGGGATTCATACGCCAGGTTTAATGCACCCCAAATAATTTCGCAAGTCGGCAGCCATATAGATGGCCTGATCTTGGTTTGCGTCAGTTGTGACGGCACGATTGCTATAGCGTATCCGATAGAGAAGAATGTCGTAAATTCCACCAGTTCGTTGCCATAAAGATCGAGGGATTCCTTCATTCCTGAAACGTATGCTTGGGTAGTTGCAGACTGGTCCATGTCCTACGGTTCGCCTGATTAGTTTCAGTTTTGGAAGAAAACATTTGTACGGATTATGCCGAGCACCAAGGGAAACCGACCTTGGTCAAGCCAGAAACAAATGCCCATGTCAACAGCAAAAAATCAATTTTAAGAACCACCAGACGCTCCCTGTCTCTACAGAGTTTTGATAGAATTGGGTTGTCCCATACTCGACTTCTTGCAATTCGGTGGCTCTCATCATTCGAAGGGCGTTGTTCAATAACCACACTATTTTTGGTCGTCGCCATCCTTCAACTGGGCATACAAGCCTTTAGCGTGGTACGTTGCGCCCAGGTAGAATAGAATTCTTTCATCAGAGACAGAAGTGTGGCTTTTTGCATTTAGACAGAAGACTTATATGTTAGAAGGAATCTCTCATTTGTGAATGGCGCGATAGTTATCATCGATGGTCTGCGACGTTGGCCTGTAGCCAAGTGTTTATTACAAAAGTCTGGTTGGGTTTTCGCAAAAGGCCAAAGGTTTAAGATGGCCAAGAATTGGAAGGTTAGGAATGAATATGCACGTCCTCTATTAGTGTACAAAAGAGCTTGCGTCTATGAAAATGCCATATGTGAATGGGTGTTGATGGTGTATTTCTTGGCTTGAAAGGCATCATCAGGTCATATCATTGAATCATTTGACACATGTTCAAAGATTGTGACCACAATAAGTAATATTATTCGGAGCTGCTCCGATTTTAGCTTCACCAAATCTCTTTAGCTGCTACAAGGATCTGACCCGAGTCATAGCGAATGGAGGGGTATAATTATTGCCATTCTTTGGAAACCGTTTAGCCCTCACCTGTAGTGGCACCTCGGAATTTAATGTAACCGTCTATATAACCCGGCCGGCCCCAGCCCGATCGGCATAGACTGCAACATCAAATTTTCTTACTGTTATCTAGTAACAAATTCTGTAATACCAATATCTAATAAAATTTAGATATTATGCCTAACAACGCTTCTGCCCCCCTCTACCCCGCTTACCTCCCTGTCCGTCCGGAAGGCTTCACTCCAACTCTGAAAGTTCCCCTCCAAGATATTCCTGAGGCAGGATGTCGCGCGGATCCTTCCCTATCAGAGATCTGTACTAAAGACAGCCAGCTTAAGATCATAACCCCACGGATTGGAACGGAAATACGAGGAGTGCAGCTAAGTCAATTGAGTACGGAAGGGTTGGATCAACTAGCACTATTGGCTGCTCAGAGAGGCGTGCTCGTATTTGTATGGATAACCTAACTTCGATCTCTACCATAATATATCCCGACTCTCTTCCTATCAGCCGAATATAAACTGACGAGCGGAGCAGAGAGACCAAGATTTTGCCGACATTGGAACGGGCCGACAGCGGAATATCGCAGCTCACTATGGACCCCTCCATCAGGTTCGCCCGTGATAAGCTTCGTAATAACGCCCAATTTGCATAAACTAATGCCTTACTTACATAGCATCCGACCATGGGGTACCCACAAGGTACCAGTCCTGAGTTCCAGGTCGTGTACGCCGACGAAAAAGTGTATGAGAGTATGCCATCCGCACTGTATCCCCCGTCAGCTGATTGGTTTATAGTGGGAATCTTCGCACTTTGCTTGGAACACGTACCAGCTATGACCTTTGGCACATAGACCAAACATTCACTCCCAATACACCCGGCGTATCATTCTTCTGGGTTCTTGAGACACCTGCGTCTGGTGGTGGAGATACAGCATTCACCTCACTGACAGCTGCCTATCAAGCTCTCTCACCCACCTTTCGTGAAGGCCTACATCGGCTAAAGCTCCTACACACCAGTGCCAGTGTTGGAGAAGTTGCGCGCATTGGGCAGGAAAGGGCGACGAAAGAGGCAGTACAAACGGAACATCCACTTATTATCCAGCATCCTGTCACCAATGAGCCAGTGTTATTTGTGAACCCGAGCATTGCAAGACAGGTCGTTGGCTATAAGCCCGAGGAGTCTGAAAACCTGCTCTCGTTCCTGCATAATCATATTCGGTCGTTGGATTTCAGTTGTCGGGTTTCATGGGAGAAAGGGACTGTTGTCGTATGGGACCAAGTGTGTGCCGCAGCTTTATGTTTCAATGTGAAGACCAAGCTAACTTGTGTATTAGAGAGCAGTTGCACACTCAGCTGTGCCAGACTTCGAGGATAGTGACCGCCGACATATGGTTAGAATTATCGCATATGGCAGTCAGCCCCAGGTGGCGTCCGTGCACAAACTCTATTAGAATGCCCTCTACTATTAGGTGCCGAGGGAGTCAATTTAGCCTGGGTACACGAAAAGGCATTTCTAGGTGATTGAGAGAGAGATTTACATTATCCCCGAATACAGCTCCTATTCAGGGGCTCTTCTCCGGTCGCCAACGGCCGTTCAATATACATACTAAGCAGCTCTCATTGACATTTGTGTCATACATACACGTATGTGTATATACATTGGGAATTCCAAAGGGGTCTGAAAATAACAACCATTTAGTAGACTGCTTCCCCCTTTCTGTGACCTTATACTACCGATTATAAGGTTGACCTACTAGTCTAGACTAGCAGGTAGAAAGGTACAGTCTGCTGGATATATCAATATGTATTTTATATAGATATAGAATTCAGCAGCGGAAATATACATTGGGAAGGTATTCTAATAGTAGATAGACTTTCAGAGATATGTCAGTAAAAGGTAATATCTTAGAATAGTGTCTCCCAGAAGATATATACAAAAATTCTGGGATAGGTCGAATAGCTGCAATTATCTAATCTTATAAAGTATAGACTGTTCTATACTATGTAGGCCTAACCAAAGGATTCAGGGGCCCTATTTTGTGGTGTTGGATCCTGTGGTAGTATTCTAGGGGTCAGGCCCCTATAGACTAGCTAGTAGGTATGTTGACACGTTGACGTGTTTCTCTAAAATATTAAAAACATAGCAATATAGGCGATTTCACCTTATCCCTTCGAGCGGAGATCAATACCATGTCGCCCCTGTTTAAGATATGGGTGTATTATGGAGATTACAGAACCTCATCCGGACATAATGCTCGCTTAATAGATGGGAAACTCCAAAATGACGACGAGATTTTCGATGGCCAGCCCCACAGGGCAAAGGTGTTAATACTAACCACATATCGGACATTGACTAGTCGTCATGGACCATCTGCAGCAAAATATGGTGTGAAAAGGAGAAGATCACCTATGATCCACCTCGGCCGCCTCGAAAATGGAAAGGTTCTTTGGTCGGGCTCTTCGAGATTGCTGTCTTTGACGAAGCGCATACAATGCGCAACAGAGGTACGCAATTATCTATAACTGCGAAGTGGATATACGCGGGATTCAATCTCTTGCTGACAGGGATACTGTTTTTCAACAGTGTCCTTGATTTTCCTGAATATGCGGGCTCTTTGCTAAAAGACAATGATATTAAACCAGAGCAACTGACGGCTGACCTTTTTAACCTACCAAAGGGGGATGTGAAAGAAAGTTTGCTGTTCATTCCTGCAGCATTGACCAAAGTCATCTTCGCGGACGGATTTACACCGGAAATTAAAAGAAAAGAAAAAGGAGCAAAAACCGAAAGAGGCTATGGAAAATCTGGGTCTCAAAGATTCAACGCCCCTTTCCGCACTTGTTACCACATTAGTTCCTGCCTTGATCATCGCAGTCAGTTTATCACCGGCATCGAGCTTGATGCCAGGCTCTCTATAGATGCAGTCGGTGTCTAGATCCGTACAGAGCTGACGTTAGCTACATACGTTGGTTATCGGGTTGAACAGGACCCTACAGAGAGTCTCCTTCCACTCATAGGAGAGCACAGGCACATCGTCATCATTTTGAGATTCCCCATAATCAACGAGGAAGAAGCAACGTCGGTTGTTCAAAGCAAACTGATCATTGTATGGGTACTTCTTTATTTTCTTTTCCGTGGTTACCGGCATGGCTACATTACCCCAGACCAAGAAGCACCTACGCTAATTTTTGCCGGTTGCTTGGTCCTTTCTTTTCCTCGTCAAACAACATCTTCAAGAGCGCTGGGAAGATCTCTCCCTCAATAGCTGTAAGGCGGTGTAATGCAACTGAAGTCGTGAGAAGCGATGAATCGGTGTACGATCGCTGTATAGAGGGGTTCTGCGGCGGGTGAGGTCGAGGTTCGTGGGAATTCCTTGTTCCTGTAGTACCGTCAATATACTTCGTACTTGTAGTCTTGGCGTTGGTCAACGCACCGAGGCACGTGCGGAACCAGCGGAATTCCCCCAAGCTGGGTTAGTGCCGGGCTTAGGGAGTTGACAACAACTAAAGGGAGCTGCGACCTACCTTCATTACTTCCGCTGACATCGAGGCTCATGTTTTAGGACATGATGCGCTCAGGATTTCCGTCATTCTGATACCCATTATTCACTCATCACACTGGGGTATCCTCACCCTACCGCGAACGGTTGATCTCGCCGCGAATGTCTTGTACTTGAAGCCTAATCTTCGGATCTAGCACAGTAGGCCGGCAAGTGCCGTGCAACCAAGCAGCCAGCCATGTCTGTCTTGCAAGGGACAGTGAATGTACCCGTGGCTACATCCACTGCACAATCTCTTAATACAACGATCCCGGCTGCCGCTACCTCTGCACTATCCTCGTCCGCGCGCGAACTGCTCGCCGCCCCGTTCCGTCGTTTCTCCGCACTCTCGTCTCATGTCAACCGACTGGTGGGGTTCCCGAGTATGGCGACCTATTTGGGGGGCTCAGGAATTACAGGACCAGCAGGGGGTGCAGTGGTAGAAGCGACACAGACAGCGGCGGATGCTGCCAGAGAAGGCATCGTTGAAGCCGCCGCGCAGGCCGACTCGAGTTACCATCTCGCCGACATCTTCCAGGCTGTTATCAAGTTCAGTGGTTTCTTTTCCTACTTGACTAGTCGATGGTCTTTGGCTTGCTTCACTGTGGTAAAGTTTTACCTGCCGGATAGTCCCTATGACCATCGTGCCCTAATAGATCAAAGGCCCTCGTTCTAAACAGGATCACTATATATGCATCTACCCGGCGACACCTCCATCTTGATTGGAGTCGACGACTAGCTTTACGGATTATACCGATCCTTCTGTTCATATCTCAAATTCACTCGCTACTCCGTGCCATCCGCTGCCAGACGTCGACCGAGTACTCGCTCATTCGATACGGCACTCCCGGGAAACGTTTGTTGTTTGATCATGCTGGAGGTGGAGGGTTTTTGTATTCGCTCGGCTCCACGCTTTTACCGTGGGAGACAGATGAGCAATCTTGCAGTGCAATGAACATGGGCCGGCCCGCTAATTCCTCGGATATCTCCTACGGATCGTTTGTGCTTCTCTGGCCTGTGTTCCTCCGGCTGTGCCTAAGTCACTTTGTCGAAACACTTTCGTGCGCGCTACAGGGAAGGGCAGTGGTTACAGAAGCTGGGATGTCCATTTTCGAGCACTCTCTTGCATTTGCCGAGGCGGAGTCTACAATCAGTCAAACGCTTGGGCTAGGACTGTTTGGTCTACCCAAGCAAAGTGTTAGCAAAGATGACTTGGGTGAAAGCGCCCAATCCACCCTTCATCTGCTTAGTAGGACTCAAGTTCTCGAGCGGATGAATGTGACCCCAGAGCTACTTCTGATTGCTCTGATATCATGTTGCAATAGCCTTACCTCGAACGTCTTAGATGTGTTTGGTAAACAGAGCCGGTACCGATTGTTCAATACGGCGTTTTGGGGCCTTTGCTTCATGTCTACCATGGCGTGGGGCTTGATAAAAGGCTCATCTGTCGGAAGTGAGAATGTGGTCCTAAAATTTCCTACAGTTTGTATCGTGGGATTCGTACCACATCTGCTAATTCTATCGGGCATTATCACATGTGCTGTGATCTATTTGCTTGCTCTGTTCGTCACTGCTTTCTCCCTTCCTGTCGATACTCCTCAGCCCCTGTCGCTTCGAGAGAGATTCACACTGGCACAAGAGAACATGCAGGGCGCTACCCAGTTTCACAACATACGATTCAATAGACACGAAGACTTCTACACCACCCTGTTGAGAATTGGATACACCGCCCTGACTGCAGCCAGTGAGGCGGTGTTTCTGAATGAAGGCAAAGGAGTTGTTGCTCGGAGTATGACATGGCTAGAGGAAGATAGGTTGGCGGAAATCGAATCGTCACGAGAAAAGCGATCTATCCGGGACCCTGTCAGCCATACGAGTGACGTTCCTTTCGGAGGTGGCGAATCTATAGACTTCGATATCCCAGAAGCGCCTTCCGAATGGGAAAGCGGATATGGCCGGGAGAAGAAGATCGAGAAGCCCAAGAACGGATCAAGATCCCTTCGAACTCAGACAGATCCGGGCGGCGTCGGGGCCTTCCGAGGCATGGTCCGGTGCTACCATGGCTTTGCTTTCTTCCGTGGAATTTTCTATCTCCTCCTTAGATGGACCGCTTATGGCTTGGACAAGCTGTTGAGCAAGGTGGGGATTAGTGCCCGGCCGCAATGGCTGAAGACAATAGTAAGACCACGTAAGAATCGGCCCCAGGAACTGAAGAACAAACAAACGGAGTCCCTCGATTTCTGGATTTTAACAGATACCGGCGAGTTGGTGCTACCAACGGATCACGAGTTCGACGTAGAGACAGAAATGAGGAAACGGGAACGATCAGGGTCAACACTTTGGCAGCAATCGGATGAGCAGCGACTTGATGACAAGCTTTACGGCTGGTGGAAGGCTGGAGGCTCATGGGGTGACCGAGACTTGAGCTCAGACTACTCTCCACCCGACAACGACTTTGATGACACGACCAGTGTCGTTTCAATGTCCACGGCCACAGGCTCTGAATGGGAGGATGAATCGGACGGTCGCCGTACACCCACCCGCGACAACCCATTCCCTCCAGGCTTCTCTCGCGAAAGCACTACCGTACAAGAATCAATGATGGATATTGGCTCTTTCGCGCGCTTGCTCGATCCGCGCGATCAGGAAAGCAGGCAGGAGGCACGCATCCTAGCCGCCCATCTCGCCGCCGGTCAAGAGGGTCGAATACTGACTCGACGTCGCTTTCAGCAGCAGATGGAGCATGAAAGGGCACAGGTACTATTGTCATCTCGGATGTCGCAGGAAATAAGATCCGAAAAACGAAAGCCTACTATGGAAGAAGAGAGTGAGATACTTGAGAAACTTATCCTCTCCCGACGCGCAAGCGCTTCTGTCCGTGCTGATGAACAGTCATGGGAGTCTGGCGCCTCGGGATTGGGACCAAGCGGGCCACCGTGTGTTATCTGCCAGACAAACCCACGTTCAGTCATTACGTGGCCGTGCCGATGCCTCTGCGTTTGCGAAGAGTGTAGAGTGAGCCTTGCAATGAACAATTTTGGTAGTTGTGTGACTTGCCGCCAGGACGTTGGAGGATTCGTGCGGCTATGGGTACCATAGACTTCTTTTTTCCCCAATTCAATTCTATCACTTTTTTAATGTTCTTCTACGACGGCGTTACCCTAATGGACATACCAATGCATATTTTACTACTACATCCTCATTTCTCTTCGTTCTCGTTTTAGGTTTTATGAAGCTATCTTCACACACTCGATAAAGTCTAAAGAGAGCAAAAGGAACAGTACTGTGGCATATCATCCAACATGATTTAATATTAACCAAAGCTGGTTTTGTATTAACAAAGGTACGTAGAAAGTGAGCCAGAGAGCAACGAAAGCAAACAATTCCAACAATCAAGAACCAATAGGCCAGACAGAAGGTAAAAACAGGCAAAGCAATCATTAAAATTATAATATTACAAACCCCAAAGCCCAAGTCACCGTATTATCATTCAATCCCTGTAGGGACAACAATCATCAAGAAATGCACCCCTTCCTCCGAAGAGTAACATCGACCCCAACTAAGGGATCAAAGATGGTAGTACGCAGCAGCCACGGCAGCGATAGCCACACCAGCGAAGCCCCCAGTGACTTGTGCTGCTCCATTCGTCTTAAGAGGCGGGGTAGCTGAGCTGCTTGAAGCAGTGCCCGAAGAGGAAGCACCCCCTGCACCACCGCCAGTGTGAGTGGAAGCCCCTGGAGACGAAGAGACATGAGACGAGCTAGCAGCCGAAGACGAGGGTTTAGGGCTAGATGATGCGTGAGAGGAGGTGGTAGGGATGGTCATGGAGCCTGTGGGTGACGCTGTGCCAGTTGCCGTTGCTGTTGTGGTTGTGGTTGCTTGGGGGGTAGTTGAAGCTCCTGGGTTGGGGACGCTGATGGGATGGCCAGCTGAGGAGCATGCGGAGACCACGACATTGGAGACAGCTTTGGATGGAGATTAGTCTATTAGTTCCCGGTGTTGATGGGGAAGACATACAAGATTGGTCGGCGATAGGGCAGGCTTGTGCGACACATGGACTGACTTTTGGGACGAGCTCGGGTTTCTGGCAGTGGCAGGCGAAATCGGTTATGGATGGGCATCCATCGCCTTGCAGAGCGTTGACGAGACACGACGCCTGTAGGATTAGTTAGTGTTGTTCGGTGAATGTGAGGAGGTCTTGGGGGAACTTTACTGCGCAAGGTGGAATATTGGGCAGGGTTTGGGCGACGGCCAGACTGGTAAACAGGACGATCATATGGTGAAGGAGTTGCATTGTGGAAGCGTAACGATTTCCTGTTCAAGAGAGTAGAAGGGAAGTTGGAGCGATATCGAAACGAGTGTCGAGATGTAACGAGTGGTGGCGACGATGGAGTTACATCTCTCGGGAGAATTGAGCGTCTTTTTATAAGCCATGAGGGGAACGTTTCACCAGATTCAGGGAACTGCATCACATGCTTATTAACATTAATATTAGACCTTGTTCAATTACAAGCTTCTGTGGTCAGGACGGTGCAATTCTTCTGGTTGGGGAAAGTCTATCCAATCGTTCCTGAACCGTCACGCCATGTGACATGCAATATGAACCCTACATGAGTTCATTATCTGGTACACCTGGGGAGTAAGACCTCCTTTGGTGCAGTTGGCGTTTCCCCAATACGTAACTCCGTACACCCTGGGAATGATCAAGGAACGGCACAGGGACGTAAGCAACGCTAATTATGATACCCCTTTGACCTATTGAGTTCATTATTGCAAAAAGCATACGTAGACTCGGACCAGGGGGTTCTATACATATACATCAAATTTTCATTTGGATGAGCGGCTACTGATGCGAAGCTAGTAGGATGAAAGGGGACTTGTACAGAATAACTATCACTAGCCATTTTATTGGTGAGCATCGTGCAAACAATTTGGATACCTAGCTAGTGAAAAGGCAAAAAGGCCGTGCAGCTGTCGATATCAGAGTCCTGAAGTAGGACTACTGCCATGGGTAGTAGGCACATTTAGGGCTAGGGACGTAACCAAGCACTTACTGTTTTCTCATCAAGACTTAATCTGACAGGACCACATATTTAGCACTCTAGCTGGTAGATGCAATTTTACTCCTCCTACCACTCATTTACTACAAGGGAAAAGGTGAGACATGGCGGAGCCATTGGGGCATGGGTCAATGTATCACAGGTGACGAATCAAAACAACCTATACCGAGAACACAAAGTCCAGTGAGGCGGCTTCGGGACTTTGCTGATAGGTTTCTACCAACCCGTAAAGTAAGACATCTACTAGGATCTTGTGCAATGGGGCGTGGCCGAGAACAAAGCAAGTGTAACCTAGGCGAATCGCTGTCTCTTCGCGTGTGGCTGTCTTTTAGGAGGGTTCTTTGTGGTGGAGTAAGCTGCCTTTGTCTCTCCCCTTTTGTGAAATTTGGGACTCGCCAATGGAAAATCTTCTACTATTCGTAGCCCATATGCATTAGTAGTTGGGTAGAAACTTTCATGCTATTGAGGAGCAGATACGTAATGTAAGAGGTGAAAGAACAAATCCATTTATAAACTTGGGTCTCACAACATTGAAGGTGAACATTCAAGTTACCGCAATCGAGGGTATGTATATACAATGCTTTCCGAACGCCCTACCCCGGATACTAAACCAGACGCCATATATCTTTGACACTCATCCATTCCAGATAAAAGTTATCTGTGCAATAGGATAGTGGCTCAGGACAGAAGCTCATCGACGTATGCCCTCTGTTTCACATCATCCTTGTGTTTGAGTAGCACGGCCAAGACCTCAATTGGGGGGCTGAGGTTCAAAGAATTTGCGCGTCTCCATCGCTTCAACCGAGCAATTCCAATGCAAGGCTAGATACCAGTCAGCTAGACGTTCTCCTTGAACACCAGAAAATGTTGGACACATTGGAACTTATGATACACGAAGCAAACGTACCCCAAATTGACTAGAAAGATCGAAATGTCGCAGGATCTTTTCATGTAGTGTGAGGTCTTGCTGGTGAACTGTCGCATATCGTTAGTTTTGACCCTGCAATGTGAATGTGTGCTATGACCGGAGATGACCAGTGGGAACACTAACACCGAGGCGCCTTTCTCTTCTCTTCCTCTTTCCTCCAGTATTGCTGTAGGTCCTTCTCAGTGATCTTGATCGCCTTTTCGTCTTCTTTCGACAAGGGCTGTTCAATCTCCGCTTGGGCTTGTTGCCTCACGGCAAGCTCCGCCACATGCGGCTGCGAAGGCTCAGTGGGTGGCACCGCCACTTGTTCAGGCTCTGGAGTCTTCTCAGAAATTGAAGCGATGACTGGTTCAAGGTCTTTGGTCTTCTTCGTTTGCGTCGGCGTCGCCGATGGCTTGGTAACCCTGGACTTGGATCCGAATGAGAGGGTGGCCTGGTTAGAGCGGGTGGCCGTGGCCTGGCCGCCGCGACGACGAGTAGGAGGCATTTTTGTGATATATGTGCAATATTCAATGGAGATGCTGCAGAAAATATAGTCGTAGCCTACAGCGTACTAAGATGCAGGGTGGAGAGAAAGATCTGGCCTGGGGTCAAACCGGTACTGTGTAGTTCGACGATAGTGGGGACATCGATGTCATAAAGTTTGGGTTGGCTGTTGCACATGGCAACCGAAACCCTCAATATATCGGGCATGGCCGTTGGGTGAGAAGTAGCAGGTCTCACTGAATACAATATACTAGTATTTTTTTTTTCTCTACTCGAAGCTGTCTCTCTATGTATTCCGTCTTCTTTTCTTCGTGTTTTACTTTATGTTTTCTTTGTTGCCGTCTAGGTTATACATACTTGCGGTAGTGCCAAGCAACATACTACGTACTAGTTTTGCCTTGCCCTGAATGCAGCGGCCACTTGGATATCCATAGTAGTCACAGCCCTATACGATCAGTCTGATCGAAAAATGCTGGTAGTAGTGAGATATACGAGTTGAATCAGTAATGGAGTCTAGCTGAGCTATCTAGCAACGGTCGAATAACCACTATGTCAAGCTACAGTCGAGAATGCGTTCGGCTCCATCCCGGTAAAGAATATATATCTTAACAAAGAATCTCCCCCCCAAACCCTACATCTTTCATTATAATTTTTATGAACGGATACCTTAAATTTAGTATTAACATAGATATATGTATTCCAGTAGTACCCTATGATATTTTCTAACTCTATGCCGATTCTAAAACCAAGCCATCCAATTCTCAATATCAGAACCAGGACAGTCATACCCTCTTCGCAAGTTATCTACTATTATACTATACCATCCCATATTCTAAATAATAGCAGTATACTCCATAGTAGTCATCACGTTCCAAGGGTTCAAATAGAATAGCTAGGCTTCAGCATTAATCGGCTTCCGATGCTACCTCTCTCCCTCCAAGTGGCTGTTAACAGCCGCGATCTCGCTAACATCCCAGCAGAGGAGTAACCGGGCGACCGTATGAAACATGTGTACTCCATATCCTAATACAATAAAGATTGTTTCAAGATCGAGTGTGGAATATCTCTGTTCGTTGGACAATTTTTATTGATCCTGTCACTTGCAGTAAAACATATATGGTTCGATTATGACGTAAAGACCAAAAAGTGATGAAGTTGACAGCACTCAATCATCGATATAGATCACCTTTTCATGATATAGCTGCTGCCTGATGTGTCGCTAGGGATTTAAGCCTACCGCGTTGCTGTTGTTGTTTTGACTCCATTTCCCGAGACATCCATACGGGTATATGGAGGGGGGGCTGTTCACAGGGCAGTGACAGGCCGTCAAGGCCAATGAGACATTCAGCCTTGTTGGGTCTGGTGGGTTCAAGATGCGAAGGGTACCAGTGGTTCATCAAGTCTTATTTATAGAAAGGAGAGGTCTGGGCATGATGGCAGCATTGCTTAACCTTCTGTCAAGAATAATATAGACGACGAATAGAATAAAATAGGAGTTTAAAGAAAGAAAGACCTCAGTAAAGTGCTGAACTTGAATTGAATTCAACGTGCAAAGGTGTGGCTCTCGTATTCATGGAAATGAGTTGTTGCCGATCCGCTGACGGAAGAGAGTACATGTTAACCCGGAAAGGGTTGGCAAAGCCGCCGATCGAATCGAGGCTCGAACAAGAGGTACTTGTTGTAGCCGCCGCAATCGACTTGCTCCTCAATCACAACTTCCACCCACCCCCACATAGGCGGCTATTCAACACCTATTCCTGTGCCCTTTTACGCTTATTTAAAAATTCCCCGGTTTCACCTACCCAAAACCTGAGACATCTGCGCCTTTGGCTTCGATACTTGCCAATCGAACAATCCGTACGTCGTCTTGCGATCCACTGGGAGGTCGCCCGAGCGCTTCTCCAGGACAACACGAGCCGCTTACCGCAACTGCGCCGTCGCAAAAGCTTCGGCGTAAGGCGATCGAGCGGAAACCGCTGGCCCAGCCGGTATCTATGAGCCTTTCAACAAATCTGAGGTCGTCGAGGTCGCATACCCCCCGGATAAGCTCTGGAGCGCATCCCTCTCAGCCGCCCCATGGTGGTGTGGGTGTAGCGCTGTCAGCATGGCCGCCTTCGTGCGAGTGTCGGGGCCGCCGAATGGCAACTTTCTGATCGGATATCCAGGTATATCCGCAACTATGGTGAGTGTTAGCCTTCCCTCCCCTTGATATGGCATGAGCGTCGCAATAACCGGTTGACTAGCCTCGTATTGAAGGCAAGGTTGAGATCAGGCCTAGTGTCGGCATTACGGCGCCCGTCAATATATCTCTCGTTACTATTTCCCTTCACCGTCGTGAGACAATACACCCGTCGGCAGATTCCGTTACCAAGAAACACCTGGCCCCTCCTCGGAAAGAGATGACAGATATCGTGGGCAAGGAGATGCTGCTGTTTCGCTGCCCCGCCGGTCGAGAATACGAGGAGGTTATTTCCATGGACCTGCCTTTCGTCCTTTTCATCCCCTTCGGCCGCAGTGGGAAAGATGCGACTCGGCGAGTCCCCCCTGCGAGTTTACAGCTTCCGAGTCGAACGGCCGAGACATACTACGAGATTGTGGTGATGGTCCAACAAGGACATTCAGATCAGAGAAAATACCCGTTTCCAGTGCCAATTGCGCGCTACGATACACTTTCTACATTTGGGATGTATAACCGTCCCGAGCTAGCAGAACGGGTAACAGATCACTTGGTCACTCTGGGCATCTCATTACCACGATGGTCTTATGGCCCACTTGACCCAGTGAGTGTCTATGTCAAACTATCTCCAAACCCGGATTGGATGAGCAAAGCTCGGAAGGTTACAATAAGCAAGATTACAATTGGCATCGACGAAGAAATCATATATAACCACGAAGGTGATGAGCCGCAGAGGAAAGTGAAAACCTTAACAAAGAGGACTGAGCATATTGGAATGAAGCTGCCACCGTCGGGTTTCCTAACAAACCTCGGCTTAGTATTTCCAGCGAAGGATATGCGAGATTCCGAGGGAATACTTCCTAGAGGGAAAGCTCCTTTTCCTATGTATGCTGTGAGCGGGTTCACGACCACCGCAACCCTTTATAAGATTGAGTACTACTTAACGGTAAAGGTTCGTATTTGAGTTCGCCCAGACCCTTCCGAATAGTTAGTAGGATGAAGCTCACTGGCTATAGGCCCACTTGACATCTGCAAGGGATATTGTTATTCGACAGCCAATAGTTGTCTGCCCTCTTGATCACGCCGGGTGTAAAGAAGAAATGGAAGCTATTGAGCAGGCCGCTCGAGATGCTGTCCATGTGAACCCAGATAACCCCATGTTACCCTTACCCTCGATAGTACGACCCAGTGACCCTAACGCTCTTCGTCATCTCGGAGTAGCCATTGTCGGTAACCAGAAGAAGCCTTTGATCGATTGAGTAAAGGCAATGATTAAACTTCTGGATATCCTCATTGGGAGTCCGACGTCTTGCTCAATTTTGGTAGTGGAGGTTTCCACTCTTACTACACCGAACATACAAGATAGGACTCAGCCTGCACTGCGAGAATCGCGTGCAATTCCCAGCTCGCCAAATAGCCGAGCACGATCACGTTTCACGAATGCATGGGTCCCGGAGTTATTTGTTGCATGGTGTTCATGATAGCCTTTGTATTTCGTCTTCGCTGGCCGGGAGGAAAACGGGGTGTTTGGGTTTGATTAGCATTCAGGGAGGGACCCCGTTGGCCAGGGGTCACTTGTTTTTCGATATCATTCCCTAACTGTGTACGCTCAATCTAATATGTAAGATCTACTGGTAGAGTCTGAGAAATCAACCAAGCGCATCTATGCACAAGGATTGACTGTGTAAGTGGGAGATAAACAACAGGACAAAAGCTCGGCTAGGTACTCTGTGCATCAGTTTAGGAGGCAATTCAGGTCTGGATACATGCTTCTTTCCTACATGCGAATATCAGGCGTGCATCCGCAGTAAGGTAAGGCTTTTTATCTTATCCCGACCAGTCTTTCTTGTCTCCCAGAAAGCGGTAGTCATAATCTACTGCCCCCTCAGCCCCCGTCATATCTCAAAAGTTGTCCAGATACTAATATTGGATAGGGCGTGGACTCTGAGTACTTTAGTCGGTAGAGAGGGCCTACTTCCCAATTTCCAAGAAACCCATTGCCAGACTCAGTGTATCCGGATCCAAAGAAAGAGAGGTCTGTTTTCGATCGCTTTCGATATTCCGGAGGCAATCTTTGAGGATTTCTAGAACTGTCTGGTATTGTTTGGAGGAGGAACCGAAAGTAGTCAGCGCATTGCTAAGATTAACGGAGATCTAATGAGCCAGCCAAATGATTAATGAAGGGTTCGATGCGAAAGTGCGAGTGATAAGTCTACACACCTGGGTAAGGATCTCGTTGTACTTGACGCTGTTATCTATGACATCGAGGTCCATGGGTACTCAGTACCAGCCCATGTGCCCATGGATAGAGAATAAGAGAGTGTGTGTGGTGAAAGGGGATCAATAGAACTTCCCCGCGGTGGGAAAGTGGAACTGATTAACTCTGATAAGCTCGGGCCACCCGAGATTTTTATCGCCAATCGGTCTCCGGAAATTTACCTTGACCACTCACTTGCTCTCTCGAGCTCTAGACCTCTTCCTTACGTCTGGACCAGTCTCCACCTGATGCAGGTTCCTTGAAGCTTTTTTCATCCTCCATTGAAGGTTCCTACTTAGACCCAAAGCTACTATAACCATCAAAATGGCCGACACAGACGAGGCCGCCATCCACCTCCCATCGCATGACTCCGCGGCACATATCGACACGGACTTGTCCGATGAGACCCAGGACTTTCGCATGCTGAGCAATCTTTCCTTGTCAGTATTACTGGTTCCTAGCCCATACGGTATAGAGTTGCATGGTGGACTGACTCGGAGAATAGCCTCGCAGATACATCGCAAGCTACTCTCCCCAAACGCGGTGAAAAGGACTTCGAACCAAACCCAACCCTCTACCAGGCCGATATCCTAGATGCCTCACGCCAGGCTATGCACAATGCCCTCGCACATCCGCGGTTACACAATCCAAAGAACCAGATCATTGGCATCTACGCCCCCGATGGACCTGCTCCGCCTCGATCGTTAGCTACGCCAAAAACACTTGACACCATTGCAGAGAATGATACCCCAGCACACACCGCCGATGCGGAGGAAAGCCAGCCTAAAAAGCCCGCAGGAACCGGGACAAACCTTCACCCGGATTCCTGCGTCTACGTAATGAACCCGAAAGGACAATTCTTCAAGAACATGGGACGCGCGGATCGGTGGGGTCGGATCTGGCTTCTGCCGGAGGAAGCTTTGTATATGCTTGAGCGAGGCAGTCTGGATGTTAGGTGGCCGCGGTCAGCAACGGGATGCGAGGATGATGGTGAGACGGAGGATTCTGGGATCCCGATGAGCTTGCAGGCTGCGTATGCGTGTTTCATTGGACATGGGGGTTTGACGGTCGATCGGTTTTCCGTTTACTCCGGATTGAGAAGGCTGGGTTACACACTTATCCGAGCTCCTGGGTGGTACGATGACGCGGAGGAAGATTTTGAGCAACCAGAATCGACCAAGCGACAAGGTCCTGGTCTGGCGGGGATCTATGGGCGGTTCATGGACTGGCTGCATAGCTCTAATACCACGGCTATAGGACCTGTTGCTGGTCTTGGGATCCATCGCAGCTACAGTGAGTCGTACTCTAAATGTGTCTATAACGTGGTTCCATTCTAACGCCGTATAGATGATATCTACCGCAAGCTCTCGATAATTCCTTTTCACGACCCCACAGCTCCTGTGTCCCAAGCTCCGCAGACGAAACCACCCTTCCGCGTTGTATTCTATGTCTATAAACCGTCTACTCCATTCCGCAAATCTGCTCCTCCTGCACCCGACTTTAGAGTTGCAGTCGTCAATGCTCGCACGCAAACCACTGTACCAACACTAGCTCAACTTGGTACCCTCCTGGAGAGCACACCCCTGGACCCGCCAAAAGGTGAGAAGATGGAAAGAATGCTCTATATGCGACTCCGACATGGATACCGGAACGTCGTCTTGGCGGTTGTCGACCAAGGCGTCGTAAGCTACCTCCGGGTCGCCGATGCGGCGTTTGGAAATGAGAAGCTATACAATAGACCTGCTCCATCTGGGAACAAAAGGGGTGCGAATCATCGTAACCCCCGGCCGAAGCCCAAGCCCAAGGGCCGGTGATGTCGACCATTATTGGCAATGATTCTGGCTTATTGATACACAAGATACCAAGAAAGTTTCCAGACATATACGGCGCTACCAGACTATGGGGCGACAGCAGACCATTTTGGTTATGAAACCACACTACTCTTGGTCTGCCATAAAGTATGGTATGAAACGGAAATGTCTCCCCATGAATAAGGTCGTGATCTCCATGGCGAAGAAGGACGAGGACCTAGTAGAAGGGGGAAGCAATGACGTAATCTGCCATCATCTTTAGAACGTCCGTCTATGGTGAAGACTAGGCGTAGATGCTCAGATGGCGTGTGGTATTCACAGGGAACGAACAGGAGCGTGGTTATTCAGATTGGAACATGATATATAATGTTCATGTCATACATTTTACCCTTTACCATAGTCGTCAGGAAACGATATTCTAGTATCAACCGGATAAACCCATATATACACGAGACGCAACGCCATGTACTCTGTGAAACTCCGCCAGTGAATAATAATCGAATAATACAGATCATGGAAATCGTAATGCATAAGAGAAGGTATACCACCTGAGACCTGATTAGCACGACATCCAAATAGAAATTACCCTTAACATACTCCGTACGGAGGCAAAAATCACGTATCCAGATAATCCGCCGCCATCAACAACTCCAGACACAACTCGGCCGGAATTTCCATATCTGGAACATTTGTCTGGTTCTTATTCTTCTCGTTGTAGCAAAAATACTCGCAGACTTTCTCGAGGACGATTCCGCTGATATTCTCCAGTGTGCAGCGACCTGTCAAGGCCTCGGCGAATTTACCTGAATAACGAAACGAGAGTAAGCACACAGAACCCCAAATCAGAGCACGGTAAAGGCCGAAGATGGATTTAAAAAGAGGGAGGGGAAGGGGAAACGAACTAGAAGGTTCCAGCATCCGACGTATCGTCCCAGAGACACAGGCCGCGCTACGCGGAAGGACAAATTCGAATCCATCACCCGAGACTAACGTCACGAATTCCGAATCGGTGGCTGATGAAGCCATTTTTTCTTCGTTAAGTTTGTGAAAATGAGGGTAATATGGGGAGATGGTAAGGTTGGATTTGATGATCAACAGTGGACGCGGGACAAGAACGATAAGAGACGCGGCGTGACGGAAGTTTTAACTTTCTCCACGTGGTCTGTGCGGAAGCTTTCTTAGTCTGTTTTAATTTCAATGTCCGGCTTGATATACTTCATCTGGCATGTATGCTTCTTGGATGGCTTGGTGGACTGATTGTTTTCTTTAAAGTACGGCTGAAAGGGTTGGAAGCCTCATTGATTGTCTCCTTTGTCTTGTTTCAATCGCTTTGAGCGTTCGCATACATTCATTCAGACTCAATAATGAACAACTGCCCTTCATCTCTATACATTTAACTCGATCGAAACGTGACTGTCATTCAAAGAGCACAATAAGCCAAGACGCAACCAATACGTCTCAGCATGCGCTGCGCAACAATGTCAACATCTCCCCTCCCCTCTCTGTGCCCCCAATACACTAGGCGCATATTGAACACAGCTCTCTCCACAGCTTTCAATGCCCCACCAACGTCACAAAGACGACCCCTCTCCTCCCAGGCACTCAGTACCTCGCCGCGCCTCACCGGCCGGACCTGCATGGTCACCGGTGGAACCTCAGGCATTGGATTCGCGATCGCAAACCGATTCCTCCAAGAAGGCGCGGAGCACATCATCCTCGTCGGACGATCGTACGAGCGCCTCCTCAAAGCTGCCACCAAACTCCAAGTCAATGATGAAGGCACCGGAAACCAGGAAGCGGCTGATGAAACCACACCAAAGTCGCAGGGAACCTTAGTCGAATCTTCAGATAGAATAAGTCTCCTTGTGGGCGATGTATCGGAGGCTGGATCGTGGCTGCGTGAGCTGGAGAAGGCGATGGTATGTTGTACTACATTGTCTTTCTCTATTATCTGACTCTGTTATTGAGTCTGGGCAAAAATATGAATGGGGAGACTGACAAAGCATCCTAGCAATCCGTCGACATCCTAATCAACGCAGCTGGGATCTCCCACTCGAATATTCTTCCCAAGACATCTCCCGAGGAAATCTCGCAAACCCTCCGGACAAACCTTGAAGGCGCAATCTTCACATCCCGCGCTCTTCTCCGCGCCTCTCTCCGTAACAGGCTGAAAAGCCGTACCGGCGAGACCCGACCCGCCTCTAAATGCATCATAAACATCTCGTCATTACTAGCGCTGAAAGGCGGAACTGGCGCGGTCCCATACGCCGCTTCGAAAGCGGGACTTCTTGGCCTCACTAGGTCGTTAACAGTTGAGGCGGCTGGTTCTCTGCGTAATGTGGTTGTGCGGTCGAATGCGATTGTGCCGGGGTATATTGAGACGCCGATGATTGCGGACTTTAGTGAGGGGCAGAATGAGAGGTTGAAGGAGAGCATTCCGTTAGGTCGGTTTGGGGTGCCGGAGGAAATCGCGGATGCGGCGGTGTTTCTGGCGGGGAATGAGTATGCGAATAATTGCGTTGTAAATCTAGATGGGGGGTTGAGTGCTGTGTAATATATTATATTATATCTGGGGTTGGTTATGTGTATATTAGGGTATTGGTCAGGGCCTTTAGAGTGTTGTAGTCTGAGCTTTACTGCAGTGTACGATAATCTCAATTATGATAACAAGTAAATTCATCGACTCATTCGTGTACCTCTGTTGGAACGCCACGCCGAAGTATGCGCATTATGACTTCGGTCAAACTAAATAGCACCAACGGTAATCCCTTCGTCCAATCTATTCGGACCAAAAGCATGATATGTTACAGTAGATGAAAGGGAATAGAAGCAAAAGATATCTCTGGTGGTCCACCCAAAACTCAAGGAACAACCAATGTGTGAGAAAAAAAAACATTGCATAGAGAAATATGTCCGAAGCGGAGAGGAAGCAATTGGCCTCCGTGTGCCTCTCTTTTTTTTTTTTTTTTTTTTTTTTCGTTCAGTCGTCAATTAGAATCGCACCTCCTTCCGTCTCATCTAGTACAATAGGATTCGATCCATCGCCATCGGCGACAGATATACTAGCCAAGCGCTTTGAACGGTCTTCGCCGTTGGTGAGGCCGGCTTCCTCGGCATTGCGCTTGCGCTTGTTTGGATCCGAAGTGCCATTGACGTGCTCGCTAACGGTAGGTATAGGTGCCCGTGGTTTCCGGGGGATTTCAGGGACCTTTACTAAAGCGATCGGCTTTTGTTCTCCTGTAGAGGATTCCGACCTATTCAAGCGTTAGTGATCTATTTAATCAAGTCGATTGACTCCACACGGAGATGGTTGGAGGCTTACTTCTCAGTCAGAACAACTAATTCAAGGTTCACACGCGGCTGCTCGTCCTCCTCGTCTATAATTGTGATGAGGCTTTCATTGCTCACACCCAGTTCCGATAGCTTCTTAGTCAGGTTATCTTCGAGGTCGGGGTCATAAATTGTGCCCAGCTCGTTGCTGACTGAAAGCTCTTCGCCGTACCCTAGCTGTAAGCGGAGGACATCCTGTACCAAGTCGTTGATGGTGGCCCGCTCTGGGTCAATCTTTACCCTGGCCTGGGCGACCGAGCAAACAGGGCAGTTGGGGTTGGGTGACTTCAGAGAATCGGAATTAATTGCACGGGCACCCGACCGTTCGAGGAAGATCTATTTTGCATGAGTTCAATAAACGGCCACATGGGTAAAGAGAAAGGAAACCTACCATTTTGGCATGCGCGTAATCATCCTTCAAGACCTTAAATGCCTGTAGGACACACAAGCCAGCAGTCATGGCGTTTGTGGTCGCGATTGCTGGTATAATATTACCGGCCATTTCTGCTCACAGTCAGCAAACCCTTGGTGTGTCACAACTTCACTGCGAAAGCACTTACGTTTCGTATCAAACTTTGATTTGGGCTCAATTCCGAATATTGTTGCTCGCAGGTTAGCACTAGCGGTGACGAAGTCTAGCGTATCCACATCGTCCTTGTCAAACACCAGGATGGGCTTGGCGTCGCTCTTTGTTGCGTCTAGCAGTGTCTTCAGTCGTTTACTCAGTCGATCCAAGCTATGATACATGTCAGTGAAAAGAATCAGCACTGGTTGAATGAGGGATAAGTCGAACCTATCCTTGAAAACGACCAAATCCTCGGCTAAAGTCCAGACTTTTTGATCGTTACAAGAAACTGTAGGCTCAATTGATGAAGCCTCTTCCTGTATCTTCTCAAATTCCAGGGGTTCCGGAGCCTTCCGGGTCTTCCACATATCCTCCATACCACGTAGTCGGTCTATGTCCTCCTTGAAAACCTTTGTAAATACCTTATGAGCAAACTCGGGGGAGCCCATGGATTCGCGGATTTCTTTGAGAGCCTGTGCCTCTTTCCGTAGATTCGCGATTTCTTCCGCTGCGCAGAATTAGCAATCTTTGCCTAAGACTAGATCGAAATTCATCAATATGACTCACCATTATTGGCATCTTCAGTACTATCCAACTCTGGCGTCTCATCCTCGCTTGTTCCAAAAAGCTCGCTAGGCCTGTTTAGTTCATACCCTGCCGAGTATAGATCCTCCAATAACTTACGGGAAAAGATAGCTTTTCGCCCAGACAATACAATGGATAGGTTGGCTTGGTGTACTGCGGATGGTGCACACGGGGAATGACTTGGGGACTTCTTTTGAGTTGCAGTCGTAGCATTCCGTTTGGCCCTGTCGATGGTCAATTAAAGCTAGCACACTTATGTGGACGCATTGGGTCGCCCCCATATCCTACCTTCTTGATGACTTGAACCTGACCGTTGAATCCGGTAGTTCCACTTTCAATCAGCGGCACATCAGCTGCTAGGCACATTCTATTGACATGGCGACGGGCTTCCAGGTTGTCAAGTGCATTGAAGACCACGTCGAAAGTCGCGAACCAGTCCACGTTGAAACGGCTATCCTTGATGTTCGCATGGTAGGCTTCGAGCTTCGCGCTTGGTTGGAATTTTTGGGCAACTTCCTTCGCGACCTGTGCTTATGAAAAGACTCTCGTCAGCTTCCCTTCGTCGTGAAACGATGAACGGTGCCGGAAGGGTATCAGGGTGGGACGTTGCGCAGGTGACGCCACGGGCGGGGCAGAAAGGGTGGACGGTTCAGTGTGACGCACCAATGCCTTTGATTTTTTAATGTGTTCAAAGCGGAAGAGAAACTGACGATTCAAATTGCTCAGGTCGATGGTATCAAGATCGATGATGTGGATTTCGCCGAACCCAGAGAGCAAGAGGTTCTTTAGCAGCTCGCAGCCGATACCACCAGCACCCACGAGGAGTACGCGCGACTAGAGAGAATGACATGAATTAGCTTCCGAGATAAAAAAAAAATAAGCACAAACTCTGGGTCAGAAGAATTGAATACCTCCTTTAAGCGTCTGGACAAGGTCCCGAGAGAGCGCTTGGAGTAGGTGTCTCGCGGCATGATTGAGGGCGCGAGAGCAATATGAAGGTGGAATGAGTGGCAGTTGAGGTCAAAACAGGGCGACAGTCATCGCCAAATGAGAGAGGATTCAGCAAGGAAAAATTAAACAGAGCGACGCTGCAGGGGACGGCAGAAATGAGCGAAAGTCCAGGAACGGATGATTGATTTCGGGAAATGCGAAATGCGTCGGAGAAGCACCGCGCTTTAATTAGTCCCAAATTGGGGGCCTGGTATGGGCAATGACGACACCGCTGTCCAGAACACGAGACTTTCCCTCACTTCTTATATCCGTTCTTTTTTTCCTTTTTTCTTTTTTTCTTCTTTGTCCTTTGACTAAATAATAAAAGCTAGTCATGCATAAATAGTGGTCCTACTAAAAGTCTCGGACAGCAAATGCGATCAAACGATTGGACCCCAGCGCAATCAATCTGAATTGAATTTATTGGTCACCCTCATTTATGCTATATTTCTTGATCGCATCCGATCAGTCCCGCTTATTGGCCGTCCAGCTTCCCACGTTCAACCAAAACGTACAGTAGCTTACCTGCTAGTGGACAAAAGTACATTCGATGATATCTGTGGTGGGAGAAATGTGTACATACATGCGTTGCATAATAGATTCGTCCATTTATATGAAAGTCTCGATTCGTGTTCGGATTCATCCGGGGAAGACATTGCTATTTAAGCTACACGTATTGGGCAGAGTGACTACAGCTAGTTTTGTTTGATGCGGAGAGGTCTACATATCTACCGTAGTACTTCCATCGTAACACAATCTATACTAGTCGTAGTTTGTCTTCCATAGTGTTGAGAATAGGTGAATGTTTTGGTCCAGTATGAAGAGTTACGAAGAAGATATTATTAGAAAGCCCTATCAATGATCAATATATCAAGAGTAACTTCTTTCTTGACTCATACATTTCCCTAAGGCAATATTATTTGCCGGACCAAAGAGTCCGCACTCCCGCCCACAGGAGAATCCAATGCAAGTCCCCGAAAAGAGACCATGAACAAGACCGCTCATATTATCCATACTTTTGGCTAACTCATCCTCCTAAAGTAAGGAAAGATAGGACGGCGGTGCGCATCATTATCTGATAATATAGTAGTTGACCCCTATGAGACCTGGGATATTTTCAAGACAATCATACTAACTTAGTAAGTGTATGTACCTTAGTGGGGGAGTTCGTTGCCTGTACCAAATTTCTATCTTTTTATACCTCCGGTACTCCGTACATCTATTCAGGTTCATTGATCATGGTCCAATCGCATTGTCCCTTTGGCTGACTAACCAGGGCCTTATCAATTCCAGGAAGGGAAAAAAAAAAAAAGAATTAATTCTCTTAGATGAGATCCATTCTTTTGTTACTGCAAGGGTCAATGAATTTTTTTTTTTTTTTTTTGGTTCGATGACAATTGTGCGTAAATAAAAGGGATTCCGGGACCCATTCTTAAATGTCCAAAAAGCAACCAAATTCAAAAGCCATTTATGGGCCCTTATTAACTTAACAAAACTTGACTCTATTTTTGCCCAACCGATCGTCCACCAAAGCAGCCGGACTTTTTGCCTGATCGTCGCTTTTGGTTCAAAGCAGTACAAACGGTCGTGGGGAATTCGGTGCGCTAGTACTGTCGGTCTTTGTTCCCTCCTTTTTTTTTTCTGTGTCAATTATATCTGGTCTCCTGCTTTTTCCCTCCTTGATCTCTTTGTCTGTTTTTCTTTGACTATTACCCCTCTTAAAAGTAAAATTTGGGTTTTCTTGGATAGTATTCCCTGTTTATATCAAGAACCGGGACACAAGGGCACGGCACCACCATGTCGGACGACGAAGCAGATCCCGAATTGCTCGCTCTTTTACGCAAGTCGCTTGGGCTAGGGGGAGGGGCAGCAAACCCAGGTGCAGCAGAGACTAAAGTTTTGGAAAATGCGCAGTACGTTTTCGACAATGCTATTGATGTCGCATTGAACTCTTCCAAGACCAAAGAAGCTGCCGAGACCATCTGGCGCTTGATGCAGAAAAAGGAATATTCCACGCAGACATGGTCGGAGCATGAATTACATCCCAAGACCAAGGATGAAAGTACCGTGGATTTTATTTTCGCCATGGATTTGCTGAATTTCAGTTTCTGGTCGGAGCACCCGGAGGAGACACGCTTCGCTATCGAATATCGCGGCAAGAAGTGGACTGGGTACTGGAGCTTGGTGGCTGCGTTGCAGAGGGCTTTGGATGAGGGTAGGTTATGCATATTTATTATGATCTAACCCGTAATTTCTTCTGGCGCGCTGTAAATGCTAAGACTTGCAGAGATCCCCATTACGAGCCCCTACTTCTGGGTGAATGAGGACGAATGTTCTGAGTCTATGCTCAAGCATGTATTTCGATCGGTAACTGATGAGGAGATTCCTCTCCTGCAAGAGCGTCTTCAGTGCCTGCGACAAGCAGGCCGAGTCTTGTGTGAGGTATGTTGAACAGCACTTGAACATCAGTAGCCTATGTAGGTTTTAACAGCCTATTTATCTAGGACTTTGACGGTAGTTTTGTCAACTGTATCTATAACGCCAACTACTCAGCGGCGTCCCTCGTGAACCTCATGGCTGAGAGTTTCCCCTGTTTCCGGGATGAAACCAGCTTTCAGGGACGGAGGGTCCGGCTCTATAAACGCGCACAAATCTTAGTCGCAGACCTGTGGGCCTGCTTCAATGGCGAGGGCCTTGGCGAATTCCATGATATTGACAAAATCACAATGTTTGCAGGTGCGTCCCACCCTCTAATTACCTTCATTAGCTATGGTTAGTTGAGTTTTCATGGGAGAATTCCAAACTAACCATGATCCAGACTACCGAATTCCTCAGATACTAAACCAACTCGGTTGTCTTATGTACTCTCCACCTCTGGAAAGTCATATTCGTGACCTTAAACCGATCCCCAGTGGCTCTACTTGGGAGGTCGAACTGCGCGCAACCAGCATCTGGTGCGTCGAATTGATTAGACGAGAGATTGAGAAGAACCATCCAGACGCGAAACCTAAAATAAAACCTACACAATCTAACGGACATGCGGCCAGTGTGGACCGCCGCCAAAGCCTCACCACATCGGCACTAGACGAACAGAGAAAGTGCACCACACAAAAACACATTACACAGACCAGCTCTGCTAAGCCCGCATCGTCGGGCGTCAATGCAATCTTGATAGATTTCTTCCTGTATGACACTATGAAAGAGTTGGAAAGAGACGGAAAGGAACAGCTTCCCCATCATCGCACAAGGAGTATTTGGTATTAAGAATTAGAAACACTTTGCTTTACCTGTTGATTATTGGTCAATATACCCTTGGCTATTACTGTTAGGGGATTGGGTTCTCCGGTGCTTTTCTTTCTTTCTTTGCTGTTTGGGGATTTGGATAGACATTGATACCATTTCTTTGCTTTTCTGCGCTGGTAGCAGCGATGTCTTTTTGGATGGCCATTTAGAGCCCATGACCCACGACCCACGACATAGACTCCCTTATAACAATGTTATCTGACCCTCAGGAGACCGGTCGTTAGCCCGAACTCTGCTAACTGTCCAGCCTTTTGTTCACACCTTTTAAAATCTTTCGGAGATATAACTGGAAGCACTCATCGCTCAAATTCAGCTACTTGACCTGGGCCTATATGGAGCACAGCGCTCCGACATCCCGTTCCTCCTATCAATATGTGCCTAGTGCGCCCTGTCCGGAAAAGAACCAGGGGAGTAAGATTGCATTTTCTAAAATTGACACCCGGAATGGTAAATCCATAGGGCTGCCGATTAACCCGTCGCCCAGCGCCCCGGCCAAGACCGACAAAAATAGAAGAATTGATATAAACAATATCTCATTCGATCCCAAATACAACCCAGAAAAATATGAAAAGCCCCCGACGCACTATACAATAACAAAAACATGCACGGCATGAACTTAGATCTGAAAAATTCTTCATGACGCTAGGGCAGAACTTATATCAACCTTCACGCTCAACCCTCACTTGCATACAGCCTACTTCCATCTTCTCTCCCCAGTACCGTACACCTTTGCTCCCAGGCTCAACAACCAGCAAAGATGCACCAAGTCCTAACGCTCCTCCTCGCCACCTACCTGGTCGTATTAGCCACCAGCCAAACCACCACCCCAGAAAACGCACCCACGAACGCAGACCCAGGCGTAGTACTGCCTCGATCCGTCTTCCAAATATTACCCAAGAGGGCCTCTCCCAAGAAGATCCCTCCCAAAGTCTCACCCCTGCAGAATGAATGCAAAGACATCAAGATCAAAGCAGGACCTTCAGTTTCCAAAGGACATCCGGAACAGCAACTATTGACGGCATCCTGCCACATCCCGGGGACGGATAAAAGCCAGTACTCCGAGCTGAGCCTGGACCGTTGTCTTGGGTGGCACAAGAACAACGACGGCAGTGGAAGACTTTTCGCAATCAAGCAGTACGTATACTACGCCACACCTGTTCATCCATACGACGTTGTAAGTGAGTGATAGGCTAACGAACCCTAGTGGCGGAGGACTCTCCAAGGCAGGAGGGGAGTGCTCGACATGTCGGTATCTTAATTCCAACCCTAATATGCTATGCTACTGTGCGAATGTGCGTGACGATGAGAAGACCTATGTAAACCCAGCCACGGCTTCCTGGACGGGTCCTGTGTTTTATAACCTGTGTAAGTGGTCTGTCTGATGTATATGGACCGTTTTCTGATTGAGGATTATAGATGAGGCGCTCCAAGGCGGGAAGTATTTGATAGAAGTCAATCAGAAGGGGGTTCTCTCGTGCCATGGGATAGCTGGCGAATCCAAATAACGCTCCTAGAAACAGTTGGCAGTTTTGGAAGAACCCTACAAAAAACGGTGCTTCAAGTTGAAGATTGAGCAAGAGCTAGGGGTAAATGGAATGTTATCGGGGTTTTCATATAGATAAAACACATTAAGACTGTTTGGGTATAGGAACTCTATAATACAAATAGCAAGTTCTAATGATACATGGGGTAGAACGGACGCATTGTTAACGAAGCAATCCAAGAGACGTTGATATAGTAAGAAAACAAGAACGACAATCGCCTTCAATAACTCATATCCTCAAAAGCCGTTATTCGGAAGAAGTGTATATTAGACGGGTAAGGCACCAGAATGCTGCGCTGCAGTCTTTTGTATTTGCTCAATTCTCGCCAGGACTGCTGCCTTCCACTCAAGGTAGTCTTCTTTGCGATCGTCGCTTAACCAATCAACACGATCCTGCATCATGGTGCCAAGGCCCGGCAGAAGGCCCTTCCTGGATGAGTGCTTGGCTAGGGAGCGACCCGATTTCGTTATCTTTTGCCGTTTGGCATCTTTAACTCTTTCTTCATACTCGCCGTAGCCGTCCTCCTCGGAAAGATATGCATCATCCCCGGCCAGTTCTCCAGCCTGTGGGATGTTTTCAAACCATTCCTTTCCATTAGCCCAGCGTTGTTGCATTATTACTGCGATCCACTGGTCCACATCCTCACGATGTCTTCTCTCGGTTGAAGGGAGGCCAATGCTCACTAAGGCAGTCTGGCGCATCTCAGAAAATGTCTTCTTGTCGAGCTTCTTTGTTTCCCCTTCCCCTTCGGATAATGGGCTTCGTCTGCGGGCGAGAGCCAAGAAATACACGGCTACCACCAGAGCATTAACGACCTCTTTATAATCTTCATCATTCTCTTTATCTTTCACAATCAGGATAGGCTCCACGAATTCCAGGGTTTCTTCGTCGAAATCATCCTCATCCTTGGCGGAAACTCGGGAAATGAAATATAGGATGGATGATACACCCGCAAAGATATGGGGCGGCAAGGTTCTCGAAATTGGAGGCCGGGACCATGTACTCGTCCGTGGAGCTGGAGTAGATAAAGTTTTACACACGCTTCGAATAGACGTCATCACCCAGGCAGGTGCATCGGGAATAATCGTAGAGCCAGGAAGGCCATTAGAGAGGACTTTAGACTTCTGGGGCGTTTGAGAGCGAGATTCGCTTGCTTCGTGTGTGATAGCCTTCTTTAACGGCGTGGGTTTGCTCGTAGTGTTCTGGAGTTTATGCGGCGTTGCTGCTGTCTTCGGAGGCGTCTGGGTATGCTTCGAACTTTTCCTAGGGGTGGACGAAGCGGACCCGGCGCGTGAAGGTGTTTCTGAGATAGAGCTGCTCCCTGCACGCTTTACTCCAGCTACACTGTTCGAAAGGGAGCGATCAAGGAATGCATAGAGCTTTTTGTAAGCACGCGGAGGACATGGCGGATGACCCATCAAAGGGGGGAGTTTGAGGGCCCGAGTTAGCCTAAACACAACCAGCTAGTCAGTGTACCAATCAATTAGGAAATGGCTCAATGACAGGGATAGGACGCTAAACATACCGGCGGCAGGCGATCTCGGCACAAGCATAAGGGCGTGCGATTTCTTCCTCCGGCCTTAGGCTAGTAGAAAAGCTGCGAGATTGCGCGACAAGAGATAAGGCCAAACTGCGGAGCTCTTGAGGCAAATCATCGGCGTGGGTCGGCAACAGCGTACCCAATGCTTGTTCGACAGGTCTGTTGTTCATCCTGTACGTGAATACAGGTTCAAATGATTATAAAATTGGAGTGTCGATGCCTTGTAAGTCCGTGTAATTTTTTGTTATCTATAGGCGTGTCGTTATCGGCGTCCGTCATGTGACCGTGTATTCAATTAGATAGGTGAATGCGGCGAAAAAGTCCGAGCTCCGTCCGTTGCATGTCGCCAGTCTCCCATCGTCCTATATTCTCATACATAGCTCACTACTATATCGAAGAGTCATGTCGGTTACTGTGAGTTCATCGTAACGTCATTAATGCGCATACGCCTCCAGATGATCAACTGACAACTATGGATACCTAACAGCTCCACACCACCCAAGGCGACCTCAAGGTCGAGCTCTTCTGCGAGGCAGTGCCCAAGACAGTAGAGGTATGCGATATCGCACCCTACGTGGATTAATATTTTCACCTCATAATTTTGCTTCGGCTTAGGCCTGTACACTGACGCTGAACTGAGTAGAACTTCCTCGCCCTTTGCGCATGCGGCGCATACAACAACACACCCTTCCACCGTCTAATCCCCGGCTTCATGATCCAAGGAGGCGATATCTCTCTCGGGCCAGCAGCACACCAATCGCAAGAAAGCACCAAACCCATGCTTCCCTTCGACGACATCCCGAAAGGCGGCACATCAATCAACCACCCCGGCGCATTGGACCAGGAAATCCACCTACCTGCTCTTCGACACAATACGCGCGGGATTCTCTCCATGGCAGCGCGGCCAGTCAAAGATAGGACAGCTCCAGGATCACAGGGCGCTATGGGGGCTACGATTAACGGAAGTCAGTTCTTCATTACGTTTGCCGCTGCTCCGCATTTGGACGGAAACAGCACCGTCTTCGGGAAGGTGTTGAACTTGACAGCACAAGATGAGGGTGGTGATGTGTTGACCAAGCTGGAGAAGGCGAATGCGAAAGTGGACAAGAAGGGCAGGGTTGTGCAGCCGAAAGAAGGTGAGGAGTCGGAGTATGAGGCGCTACGCATTAACGGCGTCACAATACACGCGAATCCGCTTGCAAAGTGAAAACAGGCGTTCTAGAAGAGTATGCGGGTTTGAGCGTGATATATTAGGCGATTGTCGAACACCACGCAAAGCCCCCAAGTCAAGGCGCCACGGCCGCAATACACAGGACCTAACACTGAAGGACTGACTTCGCCAAAGCGATATGCTGTTCTGGAAAGGGAATCTTGGGCCAGTTTCACACGATGTCGGGATTCATTGGGATTTTTGGAGTCCCTTCCAGTCTATTAGAGGTCCATTTCAGCCGAACGGTTACAAACAACCAGCTCGGGTGGGGACTGCAGAAGCTACTGCATTATAACGATGCTTCCTTGGGACCCGGTTATCGAGGTACTTCTAGTATGTGGCAGGACGTTGTATAATGAAATACGCTCCAGTGGTGAGAAGTTTGGAAATTTTGGGCACAAAAGTGCTAATGTTTCTCAGTGGAATGGATTACTCAACAACATAATATGAAATCAGGCTTATATCTCATTGGAACTTGTCGTCGGCGTTTATTGAATTTTTGTATACCACCCAAGAGAACCCATGAATATATGCCAAACGAAAAAAAGTGATAGAACACCCCGACACTACACCGTGTAAACAAACCACAACTCATCGGATATCTAGAGCGCAAAACGGGACATGGCTGTCTTGAATGACAATTATGCATGCATGCATAGAAAACATATCATAAACAACTGAAAAAGATGAATCATGCACATCGTGAGGAAATGAATATTGGCGGCAGAATAAGCAGTCGGGAGACAAACAATCCAATGCAGGTCAATTATGACTTCTGTTCAGCATTCTCCTCTTCCTTCTTTGCATCCTCGTAACCTTCAACCTTCATATCCCTCAGACCGAGCTCTTCTTCTTCCTCCTCAGTGCGGGTGTACTCTTCAGTCTTGATCTGTGGATCGACAGCAGGGGCACACAAGTCCTGAACGTAGCTGTTGGCCATGGGATCTTCGAGAGTGATGACAAACTTCATATCTCCGTTGATAGCAGCATCGAGGCGAGAGAAGAAGCGAGTCCACGTATCTTTGGTTTCGGGTGCCATGCTGTCTCCTCCAGCGCCGCTCGCATCGTCGATATCGAAGATCTGGCCGTGTAGTTGGTCACGGATTTCGGTGAGCAGACCCTCAACGGTAGTGAAACGACCACCCAATGTACCAGGCTGGACAGTGACTTCCAACTCCTTACTGTACAGAGCGCAGGTGTCGGACTTGAGAATATCACGCGAGAGGTCAACCTCATTCTCGACACTAAGGGTGATGCGCTTGCCCTTCTCTGGAACTTCACCACCAGTTTTAACTTCGCTAGTTCGGTATCCGCAGTGCTCGCAAGATGTACTCCAGATAATGACGTCCTTGAAGTATGGGATGTTCACCTTCTTCATGTTGACGAAGCCAGGCTTTGTGCAGCCTGGGCATTCGGTCGGCAGACTGTATACCTGACCGTCGACAATCTCAGAATCTTCCCATTCTTCAGATCCCTCGTGCTGCACAGCATTGGGGTCCGCGGAGATTCCAAGCTCTTCATTCTGCTCGTGCGTACGAGGATAGTCACGACGTTTATAGTTGTTTCCAGTGTCGTTGATAGTAGGCGCGATCCATGAGTTACCTGTAGGGTCATCCAGAGAGACCGTGAAGGGGAAGCCCTCTCGGTTTAGGATTTTCTGGAGGTTCTCGATAATCGGCACAAGCGCATCGTGAAGTTCAGGTGCCTGGGCCTTGCGCAGGGGTTGCTCGCTAGACAGCGACTCGTGGATCTTCTGGATCACTCCTTCGATAGTTGTGAACTGACTCTCGCCCTTGGGCATCTCGATATCCAAAGATTCAACCTTGAAGATTGAAGTATCGCTCCGGACGACCTGGCGTTGAAGATCATCTTCATTCTGAACGGTAAGTGTGTACTTAGCGCCCTTCTCTTGGATCTGACCGGCGGATTTGACAGAGTTGTCCTTGAGGTGGCAATGGGGGCATTCGAAGGATTCGAGGATGATGTCGCGGAAGTAAGGCACTCGGAGGAGAAGAAGCCTTGTGGTTCCCTGAAACCGGGTTAGTCGCGCCGCTATAACACTCATATTCCAGCTGGTGAACGTACGTTCTTATGACAGTTCATACAAAGACTTTCCACGGACATCACACCAGTATCCTCATCTCGCTCCACCAAGTCACCAGGCTTCTGGAACTGCGACTCGACAGGAGTCTCCTGCTGGACTGGCTTATCTTCTACCGACATTTTGAAGGTTAGGTATTAAGAGGTGTCTATTATAGAAGAAAACAAGATAAGAGGGTATAGAGATCTATAACGCGCAAATGAGCGGAAGAATCCACAGATATATTTGACAATCTTTGCACCCAATGATGTCTAAGGAAAGTAAAAATTTCATCAGCAAGTGCGGGAACGTTCCTTTACTTTCCACTATCGCTGTGGCGGGGCACGATTTTTTTTTTTTTTTGGAGGGGCAGAAGCAATTAGTCAGCCCGAGGGATAGTTAACGGGATTATTTTTATGTCATGGAGAGCTGTTAGTATGGAGTCGAACAGTGGAACCCCACTTATGAATGATCCTTTGTGGTATTGTTAAAGATCAGGGCTCAGGCTACAACACAGTAGAGATTTCAATTAGGCTCTTGGAGAAACTGTCTCCTATCTATGGACCAATAATCTCATACAAGCCTACATCACAATAGCCCTCATAGCATGGAACCATTTACCGGTAGCTTTGTGAGAGGATCTACAATGGCAGTTAGCTGTGTCCAGTACACATGGGTTTGAAATACTTATAGGGAAAAAATGGGCCGTTTCCATTCAAGGAAACGGCAGTTCACAGGCCACCACCAACCCGCTACCATTCGGCTCGCCAATGCAAGGCTTACAACAGGCCACCTGCGCAAGCACCCATCCCTGGAATCTGATGAAGCCGCTTCGTATTGCAGAACACCAGTATACTCTCTTCGTTACTCATCAATCCTACCCTTGGAGGCCACATCCGCATGCTGAGCTGCCATGTTCGGAGATATGCACCGAAGAAGCCATGCAGACAAGCCTAAGCTTTGATCCTCACTCTAGAGAGGTCCTGCAATATGCTTCACATGTATACACCTTAGCATAGCAACCGCAGCGGTCAACCAACCAAACGAATGGGCAAAGCATTGATATCTGCAACGGAGAGGAGAGCAACATGCATTGCTCCACACGTTTTCAGCGTTCTGTTCCTAGGAAACGGCGTGCGTCGAAAGAGGTTATGTCGTAGTGCCCGATTCGGCAGAAGTTGAACAGTCAGAGTATGGTACAGCCCGCAAACGCAGATGGGACATGAATAATGCCTCACGCCCTTTATGCAGAGGAATCGAATGCACAAAACCCTTTCAGAAAGTTTTCAGTCGGACTTGGATCTAAAATCTCCATCTCCCACCTGCTTCTCCCACATGTCATTTATATCGATCAGACATCCCCCATGTCGCAAAGCCAAATTCTCGCGGCTGTTGCCTCGAGAGACCTCTCGTGCGTAGTACAGTATTCCCAGGGACGAGCTTTTGTTTCCTCTCCGCGTCTGGTTGACTTGGAGGGCTTGGAAGACGCGGACAAAGAGCATCCATAAAAACCGCATCCTTCCTCCCAAAAAGGAGGGACAGCAATAGGACATTGCCGTGATTGTCGGCGCCCATCGATCTATTTGCAACCTACATTGCAAAGAGATGGTTAACACGGCGGATCGGGATCTCTGGTGGAGCGCAAATCAGTGGCGGGTGCCGTGATTTGGGGGTTGACAGCCCTTGCAAAGACAGGAAAAACTAGAGACGAGGAATTGGAGAGCAGGTACAAGTTGCCCAGGCTCCCTGAGGTTGGAAACACGTACACGATGGATGACCAACGGACAGGAAGGAGTGACATTAACCGCCTGGCCATGCAGGACTATTATGCATCAGGAACCAAGCCATATAGAAACGGGACAACGAGCCAGATGGCACCATCGTGATCACATGGATCGCAACAGTCGACCAAAGATCACTCCGCGCAGTCGTCAGAAGAACCTCGCTACAACTTAATCCGCTGAAAACGCCTGGGTTGCTTCCGTAGAGATCAAATTGGTGCCGACGAGGGGATCCTTCTGACATACTGACTTCATGACCGAGTGTAGGCAAATGATCTAAAGACCAAATTGTTGTGTTCAACAGGAGCAGTGGACGATGCATAATATATCCCACAGCAGCTAAGAGCGTCCCTCATAGTATTCCTGCGTAGCCGTAGCCATCGATATTACCGCAAAGACAAACCCAATCAAAGTTGTCCGACGTGTTTCACCCGCTCTCTCCCCAGGATCTTCTAGCACCCAGGCATAGTCAAACCATCCTCTATGATCAGCATGTTACGCCCAGCATTGGAAAACCGACGCGTGCCCTTTAGGAGCTCGAAACGCATGGTAGACCGTCTTTAGCGCCTGTGATAGGCTCTGGACAGCGGGTGCGTATGTGACACATCCGCCATGCGAGACCGTGAAACTTGTGCCATGATGGCATTGAACCGACTTGGTCAACATTAGGGTCAGATTCCCAACTTTCATCGCATCCGCTAGACCTGGCAAGGTAGCAAATGTAAAGACAAATGTTGAGAAGCTAGGAAGGGAATAAGATCTGTACGATTGTAGTCTTTTCAGACAAAGAGGAGGCCTTCGACAAACTGGAATGCGTATGAAAGTACAATAACACATCCTCGAAGACAGAGGGTCCAATAGAAATATTATGAATAGAAGTCCTGTTGACTGAAAATCCTAAAGAGAGAAGCATCGCGAGCCCAGCGTAAAGTCGTTTGAGGCAATTGATGTCAGCACTGCAGTAGTTGGAGAGGTAATCAAAACATCGGGATCGAAGACTACTAGTATGCTGAAGCTTGAGTACGCGCGACGCGTGTACACGTGACTTGTACGCGACCTGGAATTTACTAGGCGCCGGGTTTTAAGTTACTTGCTACGCTATACTCTATTGCGCATTTGCGAATGCTCGTACGGAGTAATTTGTTTCTTTATTTCCTTTATCTGTGTTTTCAATACCCCGTGGATCTCGAGGACTATGAGCCGCGAGCACACATAAATTTCCACTACTTATTTTTGCCTACATACGGCCATTCTAAGGTTGTACTTTTGGCTGAAAAGCAATGCTCCCAACGTGATGACCTGTTGACGACAATGTACTGGTCTAAAATTCCGTTTCAAGGCTCTTTAACTGTGAAGAGAAGGTCTTTCGAACCCACTCCATGTAGGCCTTCCATTTGTGATGCTCACCGGACGCCTCGGCATTAGGAAACGCCTTGCTCAGCTCTCGAGTAATCTTCAGAACACCCATTGATGCTTCCTGTGCTTTTTCAAGTTCTTGCTTCACGGCATTATCCTTTGGTTTGAAGGATAGCACGACGCTGTAACGCTCTGAGAGAGCGTCTAGAGACCTCTGCGTCTCCTCCGGAGCGAGGGTGATTAGTTTAGAAGTCATAAGGTTGCAGATTGTGCGAATATCTTGCTCATCATCAATTCCGGCTAATATGCGCTCGAAGAATTCAGAGACGTGCGACAAAGAGAAAGTCGTGTCTAAGGAGGCATAGAGCGTTTCGTAGGCACTCTGTTTCGGTAGTCAGAATATGCATGCAACGAACTAGGCCTGTGTTACTCACCTTCCGCAACTCAAGACCATCATCAACTCTATGCTTGAATGGACCCATTTGCACTTCACGGATCAATTCTGGTTTGATCTGTGTGTCGCCAAACACGGCAGGGAGAAGTTCGTTAAGGTGAGGGAGGATGATATCCATCTTGTTATGAATAGCAGAGTTAAGGGTTGTCAAGGCAAGTCGGTGATTTCCCAAGTCACGATCACTGAGCATGTTGACCAAAAGTGGGACGATTAACGGTCTCAATACATCGTTGTAGGTATCTCTGGAGTCTGACAGGGTATAACGGAATGCAGAGATCACCACCCCACGAATTGTCGGATCAGAGTTAGACAGGCATTCCTATAAAGTTGACATTAGCGGGTGTAGCCATTCAAAAATGGATGATCAACAATACCTGGAAATGCGGTATGTAAGCTACAGGATCAATTAGTGCTAGTCGACCAACGCACTCGGCTCCGACGGCTCGGTTGTCTTCTTCCTCAGAGACATTGAGGAGAGCCTGCCATAGCTTGAGTGCCGAGGGGGCAACATCTGGGCGAACAATCTCGGGGTGCTGAAGTAGTTCTTTTACAGAGTGAAGAAGCAGGTAGCTTTGATGATTGGGCTTTTCCAGTCCACTCATGATAGTGGGCAGATAAGTCTTCACATTACCTGCGGCTGCATTTCCTAGAGCAGTGGCTGCAGCCAGGCGAACTTTGTCCGACTTCGAATCAAAGTGAGTTATGAACAGCTCCGGTGTCAACGAGCACTCATGACCCATTCGTAGGCCGATTTCTCCGAGAATAGCGAGCGCGAGACATTTGCGTTGGGCATCTTGTGCGGTTTGCAACTCTTTGAGGAAATCATCCATCTTGACGCCCAGTTTGGATCCGCCGTGAACTAAGAGCGTTCCAATAGCCCTTCCAACAACAGATGTGTCGCCGTTGATGCCTACATCACGCAAAAGCTTCTTCATCAAGACTGCACCGGCACCTTCCTCTCCAACAACCTTGACGAGAAGTAGCAACGCCTTCAAAACAGTACCAACAAGTGAAGAGAGGACGATTGAGCAAAGAGCCGAAACCAAAGCCTCGTTTACGAGAAGCTCCGCGTTTCCGGGAATCAATTTCGCAAGGATGATGAGAGCAGGTGCGAGGAAGTGAAAATCTTCAGCGTTGATAAGAGGCAACAAGCAATCCTCTAATTCCTTCATAGTCTTCCCATCATAATGTACTCTGGTCTTGGAATTCATAGCTAAACTGCGTAGAGCCTCTAAGCTGGCACCCCGGAGTACTCGATCTGACTTACGTAGCTGAGCCCCAAGCTCCGTGGTGACGTCGCTGACCCACGCCACAGTGACATCTGTCTTCCTATCACACAGGACAGCAACGTCGTCAACAGCACGCACAGCCGCGAGTCGCGTAGTTTCATTCTTCAGGCGGTCTACCAACACGGCAAGCCCCTTTGACCGTCGCTCGAGCGAGATGAAAGCCGAGCCTTTCTCTCCCGATGTTCGTGCCAGAAGAACCCCGAATACATGAATGGCACGTTGGCGAACTTCCAGGTCAGCGCTCGTGTCGGTAATGCGACTATGAACAACATCGTACAGCTTTTCTAATTGTGATGCAAGGTCCTGCGATGCCGCGGACACCCGAGGCGGAGTAAGAGCTTTCACTATCTGCTCGACAGCCCCGAGCGCTTCGCTACTCACCTTATAGTTTCTGTCATTGACTGCACCAATGACTCCAGGGATCAAGGCGATCAAGAAAGGCAAAAGCGCATCAGACGTGTGCGTTTCCGAAACTGCAGCAATGAGACTCAACGTTTCGATCTGGAGAGTGCCTGCACTGGCTGTAGCTCCAGCTGCTGCGGATGAGGTTCCCGCTGGAGACGATGTCTTGAGCACATCGGCTATCGGGTCTTCAATTTGTTGGAGATGGTCGGCTAAACCACCATACCGAACGAGTGCCAAATTCTTGAGTAATACAATGATAGCTTGCTTTAGTGGCACAGATGCCTGTTTCCACATCTTTACAAGGCTTTGCACGACGAGGGGCACCGAGCGCGCCAGATCAACTTGAGGGCCAGATTTCGGTGAGGATGGAGCAATAACGGGCGTACCGACTGCAGACGAGGTGCCAATGCTGGGTTCAAAGTCGATCATACTTGCATCGCTATCCTGCCTCCTTCTCTTTCTCGAGTTCTTGGATCCGCCCACCGATTCGAGGAAGCCATTCGATGTAATTATCATGGCATCTTCACCTGTTTTGCGTACGAGGGCAGTCATCGTAGAAACTACCTCCAGCTTCACACTTTCTTCTCTTTCTTTGCTGAACCGGGCAATGAGGGCAGGCGCGATTTGTTGGTACAAGGAAGAGTCATCCAACGCACGACCCCGCCCGTACGTGGAGATGACGGTAAAAAGTAGCTTCGCAGCACACCGGCGCACTTTCCAGCTCATATCATCCACATCACTGTAGCCACCTTCCTCCTCGAAATCTTCGAATTCGTCGTCATCCAAGTCAGGTTCCTCCGTCTCGTCGTCCTCGGAGCCATCATCCTGAGTACCACCCATTTCCTCATCTTCTTCCATCTCGGCGACATTCGGGTCGTACTTGAGGTACCTAAGGGCGGATTTGATCGTATTTTGTAAGTAAGGTTGCATCTTCTGGCCGCAGGAGCTTATCAAGGCTTCTAGCGTCACCAAGGCGGTCTCGCGGAGCTCATCCGCTTGGGGATCGTGCTCGTCATCCTGGGAATAAGACGACATCACAAGCGTTTTGTAACAGCCCAGGAAATGAAATGTGTATTATGTTAGGAAAAAAGGTAATCTTAAAGAGGTGGCTGTTTGTTTATGGGGAACACTAGTACGTTGTGAACCAACACCCAAAGCTAATCAGTTGACGTGAGGCGGAGCTGGAGTCTGGAGAGCTCTGGCCGATAAAGAGACCCCGCGCTAGACCACAAACGATACCGGAATAATTATCGCCGATAGTCCGATATTGACAAAAAAAAATATAGCTAATCATGCAGCAAAGATGTCTACTGCTGGAGGAAATCAAACAAATCCAGAGAAGAACTAGCCCGAGATTGTTGCTTAGACGCTAATAGCGCTTGCAATCCACCCTGTTTTCTTGCCTTGGCTCGTTTCTTGCTGTTCGCATTGTCGGCTGTCTTACTAGTAGGTTTAGTCTCGGTAGAATCAGAATGTTGCAATGCAGGAAGAGCTGCCGGAGGTGTAGAGTCTATTGCTGCAGCTATTTTAGACAAAGAATTAGGGCGAACAGGCTCCTTTCGAGACGGTTTCACTGTCCGCCGACGGCAGCGGAGGCACTTGTAGACAATGGCTCCGTCTGGGGCTGCTGAGGAGCGTTTTATGTTTTTTTTCTTGATATGAATGGTTTTAGTCCACTCAGGGGCTCGGATGCTGCCGCAAGCCCCGCAAGAAGCTTCTTGTTGTCGCTGATTTAAGGGTCTGCTTTCGTCGAGAAAAATTTTGTTATGTACGGTCATTAGATGAGCTGCGGTGGAAGGGCTGAGAGAATCCAGTGAGCTGGCGGCATCCTTGAGAAAACCCAATCGAGGGGCATGATCACTAAAAGGCATAGCTGGAATGAAGAGAACAATGACCTTGACTAATAACAGATATTTGCAGGTGTGAACTGATAAAGAGATGAGGGTATATACTAGTGGACTATGATCTTCAAAGGGGGCTGGAATTGATCATTGGACGGATAGATTTGTCGCAGAGCGGCAACAGCCAATTAAGTTAATTTTAGTGCAACCAATACAAACCCGCCGACTTTGTCGTCGTTGTCCTTCACTCTTCTTCAAATCGCCAATCTTCTCATGCACACAAGCACCTTCACTTCTCCTCGATTTCCTTTGTGTTTGTTCATATAACTCTGACATTGATTCACTGTCTTTAAGAGTTGAGAATTATGCAAACCGGTCACGTTTCTCTCACTGTGTACTGAGAGCTGGGTCATTTTCTAGTTTGAATTACGTACGGAGTAAAAGTTGCATTTGTCGGTATTAAGTCTTCATCCACTCGGTTCAGCAGTGTAACACCATGGCGCCAGAGCTCAATTCTGCGTCTATTCGGGTCGCCTTTGAAGGCTGTGTAAGTTTCCCTGTCGTGTCTTGCTGGAGATCTACATGATTTCTATAACTCAC